GAAAAAGCAAGAATATGCGTAGGAATTACGTTCGGAGGCTTACTTTTAAACTTCGGTGATCAGTTACAGTTATTCAGAAGTACAAATAATTATAATCATAGACATTGACACACTTGGGATATCCTCACCTAATTTATAAGGTAACAATGAACCTCCTGACGTTCGTACTTTTCACCTAATACTTCATTTTATCCAAAAATCCTGCGTTTCTAGAAAAGAGCAATTTCATTTATGAATTCTTATTTAAATATATAAGTTCTATAAAAATTACCCTGTGGATATTACACATTAAAAATCGTGTTAAACCGTATTATTTTAAATGTCAATGTCAAATACGATTTTTTGTAAAATTATGATGATATAGTAGCGAAAGAATAAACAGAAGAATGGCAGTCTGTAACAAAAAATTATTTGAATAGGAAATAAATATTAATTCAAATTTTAATTATAATATTTTTTCATTAGTTACATACAATACGTGTATATTATGTATTTATTGTAAATAAAGAATAATGTTATGCCAAACTGAATTTCACCTCTACTGCATAACAATTGCAGTTGAGATATCCACCGTCGGCTGGATTTCTTCAGTAGACAGTGTCTTCCGGACTTGCAATTACACAAGGTTTTCTACCAAACAGGAAGCTAAAATTTCTAGGCAAAGAATACTTAAATGCTTCAAATTTTAACACTTCAAATATTATAATAAATAATAAACTTTAAATATGGTATAATAATAAATATTAAATTTTAATTCTAATATTTTAAATTCAAGATGGTTTAAATTGCGTATACTTTCAAACTATATCTTAAACTATATCTTAAACAATATTTATTATATCTTAAGGAATTGTCAATGTTACAAAGTATTTTTGATGATTCATAATTTTCTTTTGAATTCTAAATTTCTACTTTTAAGCACAAAGAACCAGAATTATGAATATGCTAATGAAATATACCGATATATTAATCACAAATATATTAACCAACAATTGAATATTAAATTATTTCTACGTTCTTTATAGTTACTGACTACTAGCCAAATAGCTCAATTATTTGCTTCAATTCATTCTAAATGCATCCATAGCTATAACAAAAGGGGCCCGATTAAAGAAAGACTTTGGAACGAAAAATTTTGAGTTTACCTTTCCCAAACCTCAGTTCAAACAGATTCGTGGTTCGGGTGGCGTCATTTTCACCGAGAACCACTTCCTCGTAGGCATATTTGACCAATAAATAATTTATCAAACAAATTGATCCCCAGGGACTATAAACAGATACTTAGAGGCACGCGTTTCACTCTACACCTTCGTCAGAGAATCAATTGACCATTCTATCTGTTAGGTTACCCTATACGCTAACTGGACAATTAATATTCGACAAAACATGAGACCCCTACTGTGAGAACCGGGACCCGCGGCGTGAAATCTCTATTATCGAGGGGTTGGTATGGTACCCCGTTGATCCGTAGTTGTATGTGTACTCTGGTCGAACTGGTGTTGACAGGGACCCCTTGCTCGTTGGAAATAATGTAATCGCGAATTAAATGTTTGCTCGGATATCCGCGATTCCCTGGTATTTCTGGTAGCTAGAAAGGAAAAGAGAGAGGAGATATTTATACCTTTGACTTAACTGAGTTGTATACATAGATATAGATAAATATTGATAATATTCTACAAATAAATATAAATAAATAAATGTAGATGTAATGGATTTAACAAATATAACAAAATATAAATACAAATAAATAAATATATATAGCTAAATATTATTTTGAGAAAATTGATTAAGAATTAAAAAATAAAAATAAAATAGAATTTATTTGAATTTTAAAAAGTGATACGGTTTATCGTACAAGATACTTTACTGTGTATACTTAACTGGAATATGAATGAAATACAAATTACTCGTTATATGAATGGCCAATATTTTAAACTCCTCAATGTCTTCTTGTATTATAGGCATTAAAAATATATCATACCATAATCCACCTAAATTTAATATTTAATTCTGTAAAGTAAATAATTGCATAGTATTAACCAAATAATAAAAAAGTTGCAGGATAATAATGATTATAAAAGATATAAAAAATAAGATTAAAAAATTATATGTGGATATATCGAGGTGAAGTTATTGATAAAAATAGAGAGAAGAAGATTTGGCGAAGCAGGAAAACACAATGGCTCTCGTCCGCGGTTGATATTGATAAAATCTTCGAGTATCGATTCTGAGAGGAGGATGTGAGCCAGATGCGATTCAAGTATCGGTTTTACGAGTATCAATTCGCAAATGTTCCGGAGCGTGCCGTTTCGAGTACCGCCGTGACAAATTTCAAGAGCGCATTGTGTCCCCACAAACGATTATTTATCTCAATTTGTCACGTACCTGGGGTGAGAAACTTGGCTAAGACCGAATTCTCAAGTATGCGTTATTTTTTTGACTTCAATTTAGTTTACCTACAAATTCAAAGAAAAATTCATCTCTTAAAAAAGTACATTTGTAATAAATTTGCCTCTCAATTCAATTTTTAAACGTTTAAACTTGAGTTAGTACTATATTATATACATACATATATAGTAACACAGACGATATTATATTATGTTTCTTCCATGTAGATTCCGGAATAAGAAACAAGTTTATGGCGGAAAAAACCAATTAACCTTTAAACAACTATAAAGACTACAACTGTAAAATAACGCATTAAAATAGTGCTATTGAATCCACATAAGAAATCATGAAAGATTTGCCTCACTTTATTTTATTTGAAATAGTTGTCTACGAGATATTTCATCGTGTCAACTGAAATGGAACACTCTGTATACATTTATTATTTTACTAACCTGAACTCGGCTGACGTTTACACACACTTGCATCTTTCACAATAAACCAAAATGTATTATTATTACTTCTTAAATAAAGAAAGAATCAATATTTTCTACGTCTTCATTACAGTTCTTTTTAAAAGAAGAAGAGATTAGGTAGGATTTCAATCACCAGATAACGTTAGAATATGTAAATGAAACGTAAAAGAGACTCTGGTTCTTCCATTCGAAATATCCGTTTTCGTACGTTCCTATAGCTAATCCCAATTATGTTGGCAGATCTATGCTATATTGGCGGTCGACAATACTAATTCGTTTCGAGACGAGCAGATACTCGTTTTTCAGTATAGATGGCGACAAAACTTTGCCGATGCACTAGTACAACCCTAGCGAACCAGCATTGTGATCGTATTAACACCTTGCATAATTGCATCGCCACCGACGCCACCGCGATTCTCATTGTGCGTCCGTTAAACACGTCTCATTTGAATATTGGCCTATTCAACACTCTGTCTGTCTGCTGCATAACCTCTTTCTCGCACTGGGAAGCTCGATCGCTGATAAAGGGGAAGCCGTGTATTCCTGGTTGCTTCCTATAGTATTCTATACACTCAATTTACAGTTAATAACGTAGTACCATGTTATTCCTACACAGAATGTAATGGAGAAGATGTCATGAAGATGTTGAAGATTGTTTAACTTGGAAAGTGCAGTATGTTTACAATTTTTGCAGCATTGTGTTACATATACGTATTGACGATATAGTATCAAGTGGAAGAATTTGACAAACATACTTAACAGTATTATTGAACTATCGTTTTTAGCAACGTAAAACAAATATATCCTTTAAAAATATATCCTATTTGAATTGTTATATCTATATTTATTATTTTTTTGGTATACATAAGGCTAAATTATTTCGAAATACATTGATTTACTTTGACATTCATATATAACTTACTTAGTCATTTCGATATGTAATTTAATGTAATTCGATATATAATTACTAAAGTATTAGACTCATATTTATAGATACTTTTCGAATTCAATATTCATGAATATTTAAAATTCAACTATTAATATTATCGGAATATTAATGATTGCTATGAATATATAATTTGATATCTAAACGGAAAGTAAATATAATGGAACATGAAATAGACTAATATATTATCAATAATACTTCACTAAATAAGCGAAATTTTGTTAAAAACCACAAAATTTTAAAGTCGAATATCTAACCTCAAAAAATAATATACACAATTACGTTAAATGAAAGGTATTTATAATAATTTATGTTATTATTAGTATAATATGTATGTTACTAGTACATCTAATCACATTTCGAATATTTCAACATTAATTATAACATTGTTTTTAGATTTTTCAACAAAACAAATTTACCTCGAATATTTCACTGAAGAAAAATTTTGAAAAATTCAACGAAACACTTGAAGAAGATAACTACGACTGTGAAAGAAGCCAGAATTAATTTCCACTTTAAAGAGTATCATAAAATTTTCCTTATCCCTCCACCTTTTTTCGGTCGCGTAAAAGGCCTCCGTTCCACAACCTCTATAAAAACTGTCGAGTGTCTTGAAATAAAATCGCCGAAATTTTCAGATTTTAAGAAGAGTTCTTCTGTCTCTCGTTGGTCGGACTGCCGCCAAATTATGGAAAGAGGAGGGGCAGTAGAGTTGAACAATTTCAGCGGTACCAGGCAGTAGGAGGATGGAAAACGATAGAAATAAAATTTTAGTCCAGCAGTAACAATAAACCACAGCACTCTGGAGGCCGAAGCTTTGGCTGTTAAACGATCCACCAATGGCTGGAAGGACTAAGATTCGGTTTCTCCCTGGAACAGCCGCGATTGGTTGGAATCTCCGCCCAGGGGTTGTATCGATCATCCCCTTGGCGCTTCAGCAACCTCTGGTATATAAAGCAGCCTCCCCAGGGACACTAACGATAGTCTGACTCTTTGCTATCTCATGCACCCTCGGTTCCCGCCACCCACCGTCGTGAAGTGATCCTAGGGAGGCTGGAAGTAAATTCTAATACGGTTAATTAAAAGGAAAAAATAAAAGAAACGTTTAGTTAACAGTAGACTCATTTTTAGAAGTGAATCTTTCGGGAAGAGACTCTCGAAAAGAACCGGAAGTTGATTAGGAATCCTGAAGAGATTGAAACTTTAGTAAATTAATTTGGAAGTTGCAAGTGAAGTGATTAATGAGCTGTTAAGGAAAAGCAACAGTTATGGCGAGCCATTCTAATTACGAATACGAGGATAGAGGACAGAGGATGCGACACCGGGTTGGTACAACTTCTAGAGCCGCAGACTCTACTGTGGCCTGCACTAGGTGAGGATTTCGTCGAGTTTCTTAGTCTTTTCTTTGAAGACTTGAATTTAAAGCATCGTGTATCTACGTCTTAAATTTATCTTCTTTTCTAAAATTATACTATTTGACTTTTCATTATACTTTCGATCTAAAATTTCGTTTCCGTTCTTATGGACTAGTACTAGATAACATTGTAGAAAAATTGTTTATTAAAGATGGAACAAGTAATAACAATGAAGAAAGAGATTTTGTTTATAGTTTTATGAATAATTAGAATTTTCGATGGGTTTAAATACGTGAGAATAAAGAATTTGGAGTACTTCGTGAAATGGTAATAATTATCGGTTACAGTAGTCAATATTATGTTGGGCCGAGCAGCGACATCAGTGAAGAAGATCTCGCAGAGTTGCCTTCTTGCGTTTATGCGAGTAGGTCTACTCAACACGTCGCACACACCTCCTCACACACTCATTCTCCTCTCCATTACCACATGCCGGTTTCTACACCTGGTAATTCAACTGATAAACTTAAGAATTTTTATACTAGATACTAAATACTTGATAATCATGATGATGTAGTTAATAATTCATATATGATGATAGGCAAATTTCTCAGAACTTTGTGGACATTAATTAAATTTCGAATTTTGTATTTGTACAGAAATTTGTTGAAGTTTTTTTTTAGTCTTGAATATAATTAAATAATATTACTTTTTAACTAAGTTTTCTTGCGAAGAAACAAAATTTATTATGTTATTCCTGTTTTAGATCATAATGATACCGAGATAAATGGTGTAGAAGAGGGTTACTATCCAAATGGCAGTCCTTACAGAATTCAGCGACATGCCGCCAATATACGTGAGAGGAAACGTATGCTGAGGTGAGAAATTATTCTCGATGAAATTATTCTAACTTTAGAAGCAACAACTATAAGTAATCGGTCATTTGAAATATTAATTTTCTTATAATTTCTTTAATAAATTAGAAAAGCGAATATAACATAGTAGAGAAACATTTTCTATTACAATGAAAATTGCAATAATTTTACTTGAATAGTCCACATTAACAAAAATTGCGCAAAAGTCAATGAACAAGTGAAACAAAAGAATAGAGTGAACAGTTAAACAGGTTGTCAGTGAGATTACGATTTTTAGCAGCATCAACTCGGCTTTCGACGAGCTTCGAGTTCACGTACCAACGTTTCCATATGAGAAGAGACTGTCTAAGATTGATACTTTACGCCTGGCTATAGCATATATTGCTCTCCTTCGAGAAGTGCTGGCTGCCAGACTCGATCCATTAACTTATGTCGAGAGGTGCCTTAGAGGAGAAATAAATGGGGAACGTGCTGAATGGAATACCAGCGGTGAGAATTATTAAGCAAAATTATTTATTATGCAATCAAAAGTATGGAAATACTTGATGGAATTACAATATCCCCATGGTTGGTGTGAAATTCGGTAATAGATTACAACCACTGAGGGCTACATCCCCACTATTTCATGTTTCTTTCACTATATAGTTATACATATAGTTTGCTTCAAACACGTGAAAAAATTTGTATATCACGTAATTTATTATATGCATTTTCCAAATATAAAAAGTATTGTATATAAAAATAACTAAATATTCTTTCTATTCGTAGATCTGACGGCACGTCTATCATGGATAAATTGGGAGAATCTAGGTGTGAATCCCAACCGACGATCAGTCTTAACCACACTAGCCCTAACGACAGACAATATGAATTAAAAAACAGAAAAAGTCATCGAAAATAATTGCAGATGAATTCTCCTTTTCTTTGTAAATAAATCCCAGTCGAATAGAGTGCCAAAGAATGTTATACATAAATATGTATACATTTCAGTTCTAATCTGGACGTGCAATACGAGCGATGATATTATATTTCGTATTTCTACATATAAATAATAATATATTATACGTACACGCGTGTACATGTAAAATGGGAATAGCTAATCTAGTTTTAGTATTTTATTTGGAATAAAATCAGCGCTTGTGAGGAGCTACAATTACACTGTATTTCATTGAGTGATACCTTCTTGTTCAATTTTCTTTATTTGTAAGATGATATTTTACTCAAAGTAATAAACTATATTAATTTTATTCTGATTAAATTTTGGAAATAAAAACATCACAATTTTTTAATATGTGCAGTATTATAAATTAAAGAATTAACAATTTATAAATATTTCTTGACAATAATTTTCATTTTGGACGATATTAAAGTTGATATGATACAAGTTTAAGTATGAAGGTAAAATTATTATAAAAATTATTACCCACAGTCGAAAACATGATAATTTTTTTTTCCTCACCATTTCTGCTTTCTAAAGAATTAAAATGATAAACATAATAAATTAAAATTAAAATTGTGTTAATTTTTCAAAAACTTAATAAAATATCAAATTAAAAATTAACATTTGAATAAGTAATAGTGATACAGCGCACTCTCGACCAGCTAATCTAATTCTAGGGTAATGTACCATTACCGTTTCACCATCATCGAACACAAATCTGGATTACCAGATGACACTATTGTTCCCATTATTGGACCATGAGAAACAAAAGCATGTGACACGTGCTCGGAGCCAGTGTATCGGTTATATTTTCTTCGATCATTTGTATACTAAACACAAGCCATTTCATTTAATCGACAAGTGTTTTTCAAGAAACTTATTCTACATCGAAGGACTTTATACACCTATTTATAACACAATAGAAATAAATATTTTTCGCCGATAGACGTGTTCAGTGCATCGTATTTAATTTATACATTTTTCCACTCTCTTTTCCAAAAATATTGTTTAACCGACCAATTAAAAACTATTACGTATTCCTGTGAATGTTTGACTAAATTTTGTGAGAAATGAAATGGAAAATTCGAAAAAAATGGAATCGAACCAACAAAATTTTTATGTTGACAAAGACGACGATGACGTGAGCGTGATTGCTGTGATAGGAAAAGAAAACGATCGATCTTCAAGGCAGCAGCAAGATGAAAAACCGAATAAGAAACAAGAGGATCGACGAGTGTTCGAGTTGAGTGACGAACGATGTAAAATGGCACTTCGAAAGCAACTCGATCTGAAATTATTATCGACTGAGCAGGATAATGTAGTGGATGATTACGACGATGTAGAAATTTTACAAAAACTTCCTCCTGAAACAATTGTTATTAAACAAGAAAAGAAATATAAAGATGATAGTGATTATGTGCGGGATTCGACGGAAACGAGTAGTGGTGGGTCGAGTTCTAGTAGTGGAGTAACAAAAGTTAAAAGAATTCATCGAGCTACAAAAAAAAAGTAGGTATACAAGGCTTAGGAATTTAAGTTTTTTGTAAATTTCATATTTATGAAATAGAAGTTAGAATATTGTAAGAACTTCAATTGTTCTGTTAATTTTTTTTTTACAGAAAGTTTGTATTCAATGTCTCGAAGTATTTGTATCATATATTGGTAACTATGCGACATTTTTGCCAAATATAAATTGAAGAAAAGAGATATTAATTGCTAAATAAAATATTTTAAACTATTTGTATAATTTTATGCTAATTTCTATAATTTCTATAATTTGGACTTATTTTTATAACTTTGTTACAGCCGTGAACCAGCAGAAGTCAGAAGAAATCCGATACGTGTTACGAAAAAAGATCCAGACAAAGATTTTTCTCGACCAAGACAACGATTACTTTCTGTAAAACGAAGGGAAATGCTTCTTAATTCAGAACCTACTAAACGTGGAAAATCTACCATGCCCTATATGAATACAAGATCTGTTACTCGTAAAATGTATAACGTTGGGGCTACTTACCAAGCACCCACAATAAAAGATGAAACAGAGTGGAAAGAATGGCCTGTTCATGGTATGCATGAACGTCCAGTCTTTCATCCGCAGGTAAGAATTTTAAACAGTTGTTAAATAAAAAATATGCATTTAATAATTTTTTATTTTTTACTTTTTATTATTTAAGTACTAATTAAATATATTTGCCAGGTTGGATTAGCTGCGGAATATTTGGGGCATTATTTCACAAGTTTAGATGGATTTTCTTACCGAGAAATAATTGATCGTCCGGAAATAGAAGTGGTATCTGTAGATCCACATTGCGACTTCCTCCCCTCATCTACTAAAAAAAAACAAAATAAAAAAACCAAACCTAATAAAGGTTTCTTCAATACTAAAAACGTAAAGACAGAGTCTTTGAACTCTTCTGAGAAGTACAGGTCTTTTGAAACTTGTATGCATGAAAGTTTCCACTCTGTTCTCGGTTATTGTTCCCAAGTAATGACTCCGACTTATAAAGCGACTGTAGAAGGGAAGATAAATAAGTTAAGTGACAGCAAAAATTCATCTAAAACCTCTAAAGAAATGGAGAAGCAATCTCTTGTGAATACTTCTATGACAAATATTGTTGAACAAAGCTCTAAAAGCGAATCTACTGTTAGTTTTGATAATTTGCAAAAATCAGCAGCAGAAACCAAGTTTTTTGATAATTATGGAGTCACCATGTTCCCACAAAATGTCAAGAGTTTTACTCAAGTTCCAAAGTCGCGTTTATTTCCAGCTCAGAAGGTGTACATAGCCAACTCTCAAAAGTCCATTGCCTTCACCAACCTTAAAACGTTACAAGGAGGGCAGATGAAGATACAGGACGTGATGCGGTCGTCTAAGAGTCCTTTCATTTTACTAAATTCTTCAGATACAAAGGAACCGCAACTTTCGAAGTCAATTTCGAGAAATATAAATGCAAATAAAATAGAAGAATCTTCTGCCAATGAAGAAACTTTAGGCGAACTGACATCAATATATAAAAATGTATCTAGCGAGGAGCCGACTGGAAAGAAACGTGGGAATAAGGTAGAATTCACGGTGACAAAGTATCTTTTCGATAATATGCAACAGAACAAATTTCAAATGGGAAAAGAATACAATACCAACGAAAAGAAATTATGTTACGAGACTCCTGGTAAAGACATACATGTAAAGGCTATTTCTACCGACCAAAATAAGACTTGGTGCAATGGCGAGACTTCAGAAATAGCGAAAATCCTTTCGGAATACAATAAAAGTAATCTGAAAAAATCAGGCATAGAAAATCAAACCTTTTATCCTAGCATGAAGAATATTAAGGTTAAAGAACTTTGTATTAAGGAAGAAAATGCCAAACAAAGTGTTCAAGAGAGTTCCATAGATAAAAATGTAAACATAAGCTTCCCTCAGGGAAAATGGAGGCGGTTCCACTTAACTGTGGAAAAGTTGAAGGATTTAAAAGGTAATTCCAATGAGAAAAGACATTCTGTGGGACTTGTGAATAGGCAATCGTTATTTAAAATCGATCAAACAACTGGAGAAATCTTTTCTGACAGGAAAGTTGAAAATTCTAAGCAATTAGAAACGTTTCAAAAAGGGCGATTAAATGTAATGAATTTTGAGAAGAAAGAAAGTACATCGACAGTAACGAGAAATGTAGATACAACAATAACGAAGACACAATCTCTGCAAGAGTTGTTAGAGAACACGGCCATGTTGTATTGTGCTGCTACTGGCACTCATCAGGACGATTTAGCTAATTACATTGATAATTTAGATGCTGCACAGAGCATACAGTGGTTAGAAACTTGCAATAATTTAATTGTGTGAATCATTATGTTGCACAAAAGAAATGTTACTAGGTTAATTTTTGTAATTTTATGATAAAACTTCAATGCATTTATCTTTTTCAGATTTTAATCCTCTTACAAAGAATTATTTAATTTTGCATGTACACATATTTTTTTCGTAATCCTTGAGGTTGGTATCTTAATTAAGGTATCGTAAAAGGGAACTTAAAAGACAGGAACGATGTTTTCGTTCTTTCATTAATGCCTTAATTAATCTAAACACAAAATAGTAGAAATTTTTTTTCAATCATTTTCATTTACACTGATTATATATCTCATTATATAAAGTTATTTCGTTTTAATAATCGCGTTTATAGACTGGAAGCATATTAAAATATTATCTTAATTTCTAATTCGTATATGAACTATAATTTTAGTTTGAGCTACTTGGATGCTAGACTTTTAAAAAATATGAATCTTGATTGTTCTTAACTCTTTGCACTTTAATTTTACTCCTGAAGTATAGTTAACATATATATTGAAATATATTTTAATATATGCAATATTTATGTAATTACAATGTAAAAACAATAAAGTAATTTAAAAGAAATAATTAACATTTTCTGGGGAACTAAATTTCTAGTTTTTTTTATATTTTCCATATAAAATAGATAATTCAAGTGCAAAGTGTTAATTACTAAAGGAAGTCTCCTACATTTTCGTAGTTAATACAATGCCATCGTTGATCCCAGCATGTATAAAAAGCATGCAAATTACAAGAATCGCAGAGTAGACGAATAAGAGGGCGATTACGCCGAGGTATCGTTGTCAGTCTCTGTTTTGTCGATGCTTTTTATGAACATATCTGTAAAGAAAAGCGAAAGAACCAATTTCTAAAATCGCCGATTGAAATTATCTATTTAATCTATAAATCAATTAAGAAATGTCTTAGTTAGAATTTAAAAGAGTCTCTATGTTATTTGTTACTATAGAAAAAATATTTTTTTATCACAAGTTCCTATTTTGTACACAAGTTTCATTTTTTAAGAAATAAATAATTCATTATTATAACAATTCATGAATGCAATAAATGTTATTCACATAATATAGTGTCCTGTTCAGTTATTTTATCATTAATTAATTAACTCACCTTTTTCTTTCTGATTCTAATTCACTTTCTTCGCTAATTGTCTTATCAGCTATTTCTTCCATTGTTGACTCTTCCTCACTATCTTCTTCGCATCTCCAGCTGGAACTTTTAGTAGAATCTTCATTCCTAGATTTCATTTTAATATTTTCTGAAGGCTTTCTGTTTACTTTTCCCGACGTTTTTCTGTGAATTTTTCTTCTATGTTTTTCATCTTCGCTGGAAATTTCAATTTTAAGGTCTTCAACGCGTGATATTTTTCTTTTAATATTATTCCTTTTCGCTTTTCCATATCTTCCAGAATTTCTAGAACTAGAGGTAGAATAACCAGTGTCTTGGCGTGTTTTCCTATAATTTTTTATAATCACAATAATAATATTTAGTTTCTAAATTTTTACATGTTAAATATTAATATTCTATACCTTTTCGAGTGGGTAATATTTCTAGGAGAAGAATCAAATTTATCTGCTTTTTCCGTGGTTTCTTCACTGTCAGTGTAATTAGCTTCTACATCTTTATCTCTTCTTTTCTTTATTCTTTTTTCTTCGGAAATCTTTTTATTTCTTACATCTTTATAAATATCTTCTCTGGATATGATACTGATATTTGGTATTTCAGATTTCTTTTTCCTCTTGTTCCTATTTTCCGTCTGCACTACGTACAGTCGGTAAAGTTGCAGGAGTATCACTAAAGTATTCTTACACGTGAAAAAGATATTCATATAACTGACTATACGATAGTGAACTATTAAAATTAATCTAAATGCAAGAAACGGTCCATCCTGTAATATTTTGAAAATATTTAATCTTCAGAAACTTTAAAAATATGAAATAAATTATTTTGTAATATTAATGTATTGTTGGCAATTTAAAAAACTTACTATTATTAAATAAAGTATGTATTTAATAACTTATTAGCAAAATATACAATTTAAAAATAAATCCTAAAATAAATATTAATATTAATATAAGATGAAAAACAAAATCATAAGTATAAATTATAAATTTTCAACGTTACTATATGAAAATATTTTCTATGATTTAGAAAAATTATAGAAGTAAAACAAACCTGTAAAACCATGTTCAAAGCAATTCCCCACACGTCTATACTGCAACAACTAGTTTCGGTGTGTACCCGCTTTTTGACAGCACTTCCAGAAGATAATCTAGATTTCCGAGACTTGGTGGCTGTCAAAACGACAGTAAATTGCATCAACGACCATGCCCAAATTCCCAAAGTTAAATAAACTAAGACAGGTTCGCGAGCTATACGATCCTCTTTAAAGGAGTCAAAGAATTCAATGATATCTGCTGCTGTTCCAATATATACCAATAATAATTGACTTAGTTGATCTCTAGTTAAATCTCCCTTTGGTAACATCCATCTTCCAATAATTAAAATTAACATTAGAAACTGTTCGATCAAAGTTACCCAAGTCTCTGTCGATATCTGTATGTCCGGTAGATGTATGTTTACCTAAATTATATATTAAAAAATAATTTTTCACTCCTTATACATTTCTAATAAGCATTCTTTTAATAATATAAATGGAACTTACACCTAATGCCTTTTCCAGATGTTTTAAGTCCTCAGCAGCTAAATTAGTTAAATCAAAGTTCTCGGATATGTTCACATTCGTTTCGAACGTCCTCAGTCTTTTATCAACCTTGTCTAATTCCAGAAGCCATATTGCAGGAACTACACTGCTTAAGTACAGGAAAACGGAAGGACAAAACCTAAAGGAAAAATTTTTTTTATTAGTAAATAATCCCATTCTTTTCTTAAGGTTACCTTTCACTCGATCGGTAAAACAGGATAACTAACGATTTGTAATATAGTGTAATTTATCCTCGCTTTAGGAGGTGAGCATTCCAGGAATCTTTATTTTGTCTAAAGTTATATTCTGATTAAAAATTTATGATTTATATCATGTGAAAGAATATTAATTAATCACAATATATTATTAGAAAATATCTAATTATAGAATATTAAACAAATGTATATACTACATTTTTTTATGATTCGATATATTGATCTTTTTCAAGAATGATCAAAAATATAGTTTCCATCAAATATGTACTCGATCAATCATATATGTGAATGAAAAAGGATATTAGAAAAAGGGGTCACTGTTACATGGCTCTTTCTGTATATCGATAATTTTCAACGTATAGTGGATTATATCTCGTCCCACTCCTGTTACTAATGCTCCAATTTCCGACTGTCAAATTGAGACGAACCCACAAAAACACACCCCTTCCTTCCAAGCGAAAAGTAGATTTGTTTTATCGAATAGATTGTTAAACTAGAGACCTTGCTTTTTGGCATATTTACTTTAGTAAATTTTTTTATTTTTATATGTAATTCAAAATTAAATTTAATATGTGTATATAATATATTTTAATAGAATATTTTTTATAAATATAATAAATCAAGTCAAATTTATTATTTTTTCCTTCGAGTATTGTTAATAAGAATTATTAAAGTATCATGTAGACCATAGTCCTAAAAATTTAGAACTTCAAATTTTAAAAAATAAATCAGTATGAGAAATAATTAATAAATGTACTTTTATTACTTACCACTTCCACTCTTGATTTTCCTTTATAGTAAGTGTAAATATACCTTCGAAGAACAGTAACAAAATTGGACAGCTCAGGTACCAAAACAAAGGATTCTTTTTAAAAGTAGTTACTTGCCAAATTGCTATAAAACCGTGAGACGCAAAAACTAATCGTGTAATTATCGCTTTAATCGTTGCTAAAAACTTTGCCATTTTCACAAACCATCCAGTTATTTAATTAATAATTATTTCACTATAATTATTTCGTTCTAATTATATTATATTCACGAATTTGTTAACACACTCAAATATCCTTTAGTTATAGCGAGAAATAGAAAAAAATTAGAAATACGAATTTTTTGCAACTTTTGTTTAAATACTACATTTTTATTGTATTCTTTTTCAAGGTAATAAAGTATCAAATTATTTTGCAGTACATCAAATGTCGTTTGACTGGATCTCACTGTATCAGAACTGGAATAAAAGGTCCTAAACGATTTGGATTTCAAACAGCTGTGCGCATGCGTACTTTGACACTGCAAATATTGTCATTTATTCGCAACAGGCGTTTATTAAAAGAAATATTAACTACGTCATTAAACAATTGAGAACTTCCTGTAATTATAAATTAATTATTAAGAAATTTTCATAATACAAGAATCTCCTAGTTATAAACTGACAGAATAAAATTACAAGAAAAATACCTATTAATAAGAAATAAAAATAGCACGAAAAAGGTATAAAATAGGAATGGAAGAAAAGATGAATTCATATAATTAAAATTATATTAAAATCACTTTATGACTAAAAAATTTAAACTCGTTCGATGAATCAGTAAAAAGTAAAATTGTAGTGCAGCTGTATAGCTATAGAAAGTAAAGGAGAATATTTGATTGGCTTATCAATTTCAATACGTTATTGTACTACATATAAAGAAAGTTAATCATTAAACTAATTTTGTAATATTTAATTTGAATTAGGTAGTTATTACATATATTTATTCTCCCATTTGTCATTGTAAATATCGAAGGAGTATTGAAGTCTAATCTTTGAATACTTTTAAATATTAACCTTTAACTATTTTATAAGGTATAACCTTTGTTGATAAAAATATTTTATCGTATAATGTAATTATGACATTAAGGTGCAATGAATCTGTTCGAAAGTTGTCAATTACTTTATTCATGTTTGATTAGCGATTTCTCACAAATAATTAAATTCTTTCTAATAATTCTATAAAAATAAAGAATCGTAGCAGAAACTATTTCTTGATCATAGTATTAAAATGCATCGCACGTCAGTATTTAATTGCTTACTGGAAATTGAATTCAATAGGAGTAACAAGCATCAGTATCTTTTGTTTTCAGTAACAATTTTTACTTGCAAGCATTCCAACAACTTCGTGAAATACAAAGGAATTTATATTTTGCAAGTGGTTTATAAAAATCTATCATATATTTCTTATACTAGATAAAGGAATTCTATTTTAATTAAAAAGTGTCATTCATTCATTAGAATAATTCTAGGCTTTATTCATGAAACCCCGTTTGTCTTTAAGCAATAAATATTTAATTTCTGTGTACCATATTCACTCATTAATATATTTATGATATTGCGAAAAATATTAGTTTCCTTTATCAATCTCATAAGGGTCTCCACATAGATCGGAAATCGCTTAAAATCAGAATCACATTATGTTAAAACAAGCTAATTACAATAATTTATTTGCCCTGTATAATTCACACATATTTCGCGTTTATTCTTTAAAACATATCTATAATTAATTGCGCCTTTTTGACCGTTGTACTTAATTCCCTTTAATGTAATTCCAATACAATCTATCTTACAATCCTTTGCAGGGTTTATTTCGCGCTTTACATCAGGCAATTTTGAAAACGAAAATCAATAACAGCACCTCTAATAATGTTTTAAGTAGTTAAAATCTAGTTACATTCCAACTATTTAATGTACTCGGTGGACAAAAGAAAATGAACATTCTAATTAAAGATAATTTACTAAAAATCACGAAATATTTTTCTTGCCGCGTTTAAACATTATAGAACCTATAACTTTGAGCCTGATTGAAAATAAAACCTCAAAGAGTTAGTACGTATTATCCCTAGAAAACCACTTGTGTACATTCCCATGTGTGATCGTCCTTTAAAATCACCAATAAAGACGTGAATCATAATTTTTCTTTTCTCATCCATCTGCCTCTAGTGAAGCCACAAAATAATAAATCCGCTATCGTTAATTCTATTTAATTAAGTACAAAACACGTTCCTTTAGTACTTTCGCGTGTTCTACGATCCTGTAGCGTGAAACATAAGGAAATACGCTAACGATTTTTATATCGTACAGGAAGTGAGTCTGATGACTGCTTTTTTCCGCATTTTTTTCGTTTCTAGTATACGATATGCATTCAAACATAGCGCATATTTTCAAAAACCAAAAAGAATACATCATCGTTTATCTGGTACTTCAAATAAGTAAGTTGAATGTGTTTTTTAAGCACCTTTCGATAGTTGGCCACTCATTTGCTTAATTATTGAAATTTCTGTTGTGCTCGCTCGTACAAGCAAGATAAACTTAACACCTTGAAGAATTCACAGACTATTAATATTTACACAGGAATTAATGCAATAATATGAGTGATATAGATCGGATATACGAGACTACAGCCATTAATGATTAGAACAAGTAGAAATTTAAGCCAGTACGAATTCATGTTTTTCTTTCTGTTTTTACGAGTCCAAAACTTAACAGTTGGCAGAATTGATGAATAATTTTGCCATAGAAGATCATTGCGAATAATTAATTAATTAATGAATTAAATTCAATCAATTTTCTTTTCTATTATCAATAGTTTCAATAAGAAATCTATTCTCTATCGCCGCAAAGATCTTCAAACAATCTGTTTTTCAAAAACTCGTATTTATATGTTACTTCGAATACGCATTCAAGCAGTCCATCTGTAAATGAATTCTGTTCAACGCTTATATTCTGCATTACTTTATCGTATTTGCTAGAACTCCAAGGAAATAAAAATAGAAAAAAACCGTAGAAAGAGAAAACAATGATAACAGAAGGTGTCTACGAATCGGTGAAATTTTTTCGAAATTGTTCTCAGTCAATGAGAGAACCAACCAGTTTTTGCATTTTCTGAACTGGCGCCTAAGAATGGTATCCTGAGAAATTTCAAAAACTTCTGTATTCTGTTTTAATCGGTGATGGAGATCTGAGCAAATCCTATTAACGCCTTGTCGTCGGGCAGTTCATTGGCTGCATGACCAGAATTCTAAAACAATATTATTTATAATTAACTTATATTCGAAGTTCATAATCTTAAAACAATTATTAAAGTTGAAAATTTACCAATGAAAATGTTACTGTTCGTAATTGGCCGGCACTGTCTATGAGTTTTTGTAGATTTGCTGCTATTACGACGATATCTTTACCATCTACCAATCCTGCACCGACTAATTCCGCTGCTATACCTTCGGCAGAATCCACCCCAACAGCAAATTCAAATCTGATATCATTAAGCTCTCGTTTCTGGTTTCTAAATAAAAAAAATTTATTTTAGTTGAAAATTTCTACTAATATATCATTTTTCTTATAGTACTTTACGTTGCAAGAAGGATTGTTTAGTAATAGCTAAATTAGGAATTGAGAAATTAGGAAATAGGGTTGAAACATACTCGGACTTGTCTTCGAGGGTGAAATGGGTTTCAGGACGTCTGCAATAAAAATATAACTTAAAATAATTACAAAAGCAAATAAAACATTCTAGATAATATTTTTTGAGAAAGAATTCCCCAAAATTCTTTAAATTTTGAGAAAAATTTTCTTATATTAATCTTAAGAGTCCTACAAATAGTAAATTTATTATTAAAATAAAAAACATCAAATATAAAATTTAAAAACATTAAAATCTAATTAAGATGTACCTTAATCTTAGCACCAAATTTATAGGAACATTCGGCTCCGTAGCCTGTACAACAATATGACTTCGTGCTGATTTCACTTGTCCATAAAACTCTTCCTCCGGTTCCTCTTCGGTGCTAGATGCATTTTCGATCGTGTTAACAGGTAAAGCTTCTTTGCCTTCGTCGCCACTAGATGCACTACTATCTTCTTCTTCTGAAGACCAAACCCATTCTCCTGTAACTGTTCTATGCAGACGTCCCGATGTACCAGGTTGTCTTTTTGAAGCCTAAAATAATTATCGAATTAATCAAATAAAAATATACATTATAAATAATTAATTCATTAAATGAAAAATATACCTTTTGTACTCGAGTTTCAAGACTAGGACCACAAGCTACTAAAGTCTGCTGTAAATATTTTTTATCTTTCGCTTTCTTGAAGAACGGATGTTTCAGTAGCTCTGTTGCTGTTGGTCTGAAAAATTATTGTTTTTAATCTGGATTGTTTTTAAAGTTCATAAGAAAGCTTTCAATGAAATTAACCTCTTCGTCGGATCTTTTTGCAAACAATCGACGATCATTTTTCGGAATGTCTTGCCATAGGCTTTGTATTGATCTTTATCGTCGGCGGCAGTATCTAAAGTTGGCGGATCGTTTTGTAGAGTTAACATGAGTACTTTCATTGGTGGGTACTTATGATATGGAGCTGTGCCACTAGCCATTTCAATGGCAGTGATGCCAAGCGACCAAATATCTGCTTTGAAATCATAACCATGGTCCTGCAAAGGTATTCTTACATATCATAATCGATTTTACAGTGTACACATTGAATCAAGATACTAATAGTGAGAATAAATCATGCTATTTAACAGTAACATGCTCTTTATGTCAATAATTCTATTGAAAAAAATGGAAAAGTATAAGATGTGCATATTAATAAATATACTTGACAAATACAGCTGTTATATAATTTACATGCTTAAAACTACATAAACGTATAAAAATCCAAAAATTGAAGTTCAGAGATTTTTAAATTAGAGCAACACGTTTTTATCAAATAAAAATAACGAAAAAGTTAACATAAAGGTAACTAATTTCTAGATTTTAATTTTTATAAAATAAAAATAAACGAGTTTAGAATCTTATAAACAAAGAAGCTTAAATATGAACACCAAAAATGCAGGCTAAGAAGTTGTAATGTTACTTTCCTCTCTCACCTGCTCCATGACCTCAGGTGCCATCCAGCAAGGTGTGCCTACAAACGTGTGTCTAACTTTCTGTCTGCTCAAATCTCGACCGGTCGCTAGCCAAGCACTAACACCGAAGTCAGCTATCTGCACGGTGCCATCTTCTCCTAGTAGGATATTACCGGCTTTTATGTCCCTAATATTATTTTGTTATTAAAATTTGTCTATATATTATCAAATAATCAAATATATTCACTTCGCGTTTCATTCGAAAAAAATATCGCATATTACTAACACTTTATGGCTCGTTTGAATATAAAGAATGACTTCTTTAGAATTGACAATATATTAATATAAATAAATGGTTACTATTGATACAGATTTTAAGAATTTATAATATTAAACAGCAAGAATGGGAGCACAAATTATGCAGGAAGAAAAAATACCTATAATATTTATCCGACTTAAACGTTATAAACTAATTTCTTTTATATTATTTTATAAATGCAGTAAAGAATTAATAAAATACCTGTGTATTTGCCCATTACTGTGGAAGTATTCGAGGCCTTTGAGTACTTCTCGTAAAACTGTTGCTATTGTTGCTTCATCAAACACCCCATGTTTACAGTTTGTGGTTCTAGTTTTGTGTTTGATGATATCCAACAGGGATCCTCCTTCCAGCAGCCTCAGAACAAGCCAGAGCTCCTCTTTCACGACGAATGATGTATAATACGTGACCACATTCTCGTGATTGCAGGAGGACATTGCTTGTATTTCTTTCTGTTTATAAAAAAAAACATTTTTTCAATAAAATTCTTTGTAAAATATGCACAAAAATCTAAAAATTACATTATATTCATGATTAAAATATATTTTTAAGAATATCTAATATCGAAGAAATATTAGAATTACAAGTTTTTATAAATATTACTATTTAATATCTTCGATAGCTACGTAAACGTAAACAGAACGATTTCGGATTAAGTGGTGACAATTACGATAATATAAATCTTTCAACAATAAAAATTTCATTTACCAATGAATTTATATCATCAATATAATGTTTATAATTTTCTCTTCAATAATGTTTAATAAAAAAATTACCAGAAGCTCGTCCATGCTTGTGTTCCATTTTTCCAAATTTATTCTTTTGATCGCACATTTTTCTTGCCGTGGAATGCAAAATGCGGCGTGTACTACGGCAGTCGCTCCAACACCTAAAATTAAATTAAAAAATCATTATAATACACAATTTTTAATAAAGATTATACAGATCTCATGGGAATAATATTTTCTCTGGTTTAAATCGAACCTTTGAATAGTTATGATGTAATTATACGTCATGACACGTCACGTGTCGGTGTTATGACGTATGTGCACTGGCACAGGATATACACTGAAATTATCTCATTTTATTCTGCGTTTCAAGACCTTTTTAAGTTTGTAATTTTTCAACTTTTCTAAGAAAAAAATGATTCTAAATGATTTATAATCCAGTTAAACACATATAATTGCTCCAACTTCTCTATAAACAGAAAAAAAGCTTCCTCATATCAAAATCTTTTTACCAGGTAACAGCAACAATTTTTTCGGAGTAAATTAACATCACGTTTTTAACAAAATTAAAATCAATATTCTGAGAAAAAAGGGGATGTGAGAAAAGATATATAAATGTTTTTCTATTTTAATCTGACATTTCGTTCATATTACTCCAAAAAAAGCTGTTTATATTACTGCAAGAAGTACGTTAAAACCTTAAGATTATTAAACATTTTTTAAATTTATTAGAAGTAAAAATATCTTTAAAAAACTGGTTTGAAATCGTATTATAACCTCTGTTATTTTTCTATTTGTTTATTTCTAATCTTACGATAATCCGTTAACTCATCCCAGAAATCCGTATGTATTTCGTATGCAGTAAGAATTGGAACCGTTTTTCGAGCAAGTTAACTAGGTTAGGACGTATTGGGCACCGGTATACGTGCCTTCGTGAGTGCGAGTGAGTAAGCAAACCTCAAACTCAAGTATGAGAGAGACGACGGCGTAAATGCGGACGAGGACAATGCATCAACTTAAAGCTCACTATTCAAGATCACGAAATCATCGACTTTTTTATATATTCCATTCTATGATCTCGCGTTTTTATGTAATGTTTCGTTTACTCGGTTAAGGAACTTTCTGTGAATAACGTCAAGAAGCAGAAGCAAGTATTCATCAAAACCCGGTAAGCATATATCACGACGAAGATCCTCTTCCCGATGAATCTCATATGAGAAGCAATATTGTAGATGATGAGGGAAACAGAGAGGTAATGATTACTCACCAATAACCTCTTTGAGCTCGTAGTCGTCCTTGGTGTTCGGCCAGCCCTGCACGACCGTGGTAGAGCTCGAGGACGCCATTTTGTTTGCCAGTGCCGTACCAAGGCGTGTGTGCTTGCTGGTACTTCGAGCACCCCGCGCGAGCAGTAACACACCACTCTTTGAACGTGTGTTGCTGTTAGTTGTTTTCGGCTCACGTGGACTTCTTGAATCGGCGCTTGCGCACTGATGATTATTTGCCGCAGGTGCGTTTGCGTTCTTTGGCGGAGTTGAGGCGCGGAATGACTTCTGCCGGAAAATCCCCGAAGAACAAGAGGGTAAAACGTCCGGTGAAATTTTCCTATGCAAATATTCAATATTTCGAGAATTCGTACATAAGAATAACTATATTACATTTTATTTTGGTTATGAAAAATTGTTTAAATCTCGTATGTTTAATTTGAAATAAAATAAAAAATTATCCAACAAAAGAAAAGGTTAAAATTTGTTTAAAGATTTGTTTCTGCAAACAACGCACAAATTAGGGCTGGATTATATTAAAGAGGCTACGACAATGTGTTTATTAAGTCTCAATTACATGTAATTTTGTCAAAATAAATGCGTCGATAAAGCGTCGACGCAACCTACGCAAGCCCCAATCTGATTCATTAAGTCGATTGGTCTTTCTTAGAGAAACTAACCATTCGAGTAATAAATTTTAATTTAGTGCAATTTACTGTCTCCGAAAAAACTTTTTTTCCATTTTGGATACTTTAACAGACAAATTTTTAATGGCATATAACATAAAGTATTTTACAAACACTATATAGTTTAATATCCGTTCTTTAAAACTCTCCCTACGTCAAACAGAAAATGGAGGGAAATTTAAGTATCATTATATCTCATCATATCTCATTTCTATCGAGTGATTAAATTGTGTGGGTGAAACTGAATTAATAAAAATATCGAAGACAGCTATATATGTAAATCTGTATGACCCTTTTAATTCTCATTGAATATTTCTGTTAGAGTTTACTCACGTAAGTGTCGAGGATTATGGTTTATCCGACATAAGCAGTGCAGTATGGTGCCCGGAATCCGTCACTACTGTCGAACAATGATTCAAAACATTTTTTCGGTGAGAGAGAACGAGAGTTGCGTGATATGTGACCGCGATATTAAGGTTAATCCTGGTCCGTCTGTCCAAGTCTCACTATAAACTCTGTCGATGGCACGCTCGTCGTGATTAGTAATTGAAGTGCTTTCATCGTCATTCACGCATATATTGTGAAGCATGTTAAATAAAGATAGAGAAAGAAGGAGTGACAGAGCTTAGAGATACCACAATGCTCGAATTCTCGGGCAGCACGAAGTTCAAACTGAATTGAGGTTCGATTCTCGATTCGATTCGAGAACTCGAACGAGTGGCTTGAATAAAACAAAGCGACTCGAGCAAAATCGATAACATGAATAAAGCGAGTAGCTTCTGCGAGATCGGACAGTTCGACTAAACCGAGCGACTGGAAAGAAATCCAGCAGCTCGAATAACCTAAGCGGCTGGAATGAAATCGGACATAATATGTCCACATGACCCGATACGGTAGCTGCTTCGCTCGTCACTTCGTTCACCATTCATCGCGTGTTTATGCTTGTAGCTCGCTTATTGATCTCTAGATCAGTTTTCACATTTAAGATTCGTAAGCATTTCAGTGACGATTTTGAATTTCAACTTGCATGTATGTACATATATATATTTATAATGTATATTTTTTATGAATTTTTAAATATTTCGCATATAATAGAAAGGCAACATATTCGATGTAGCATAATGGATTTGTAAATATATGTTGTACATTGTACGTAAAATATATATGACATACTACGTCGAATCTTTCGATTCAAATGATCAATTGTTAGAAGTCGTTCGACTTACTTGATTATGTATTCGATTGTATATTCGGTTTCGAACCGAGTGTATACAGTTGGCTTAATCATTTCTGTATTTTTAAAAGGGCTACAGAAAAGAGCGGGAAAATGCAATCAATCATGGCGAAATTGGAGCCAAAAATTGGAAATAGGAGTAAAGATAAATCTAGGAAAAGATAAAAAGTTTGTTATTTAACAAAATTTAAACGTTTAAAAGAAGGGAAGTAAAGAAAATATACATAGAACAAAAAATATAAATATACAATCTTCTCATTTGGCAATGAGCGAGTAAAAATGTGTGTGAGACGAGAAGGAAATAGTAACGGTGTAAACGTGGATGATACAAGGTGAAATAGAAAGAGCACCGTAGAAAAAGAGGAAGTAGTGAAGAGGTTAGGTAAGACAAGTTGACTAGTAGGATAGTAGGAACGAGAAATAGAACCACGACGAAACGCTAGAAAGATACAATAATGCTTAGGCAAATTCAATCAAAATTATATCAAATTAATTATTATAATTAAAATTAGGTTGATTTATATCGTGTTTAGACTCATTTTTACCTGAAAAATCTCAACAATATATTGATATTACTTTTACAGAGATAATGGGGGAATAAAATTGGGGAACAAAATGGAAAAAATGAAGACGAAATAACTGAGATACATAATGCAAAAGAACGGGAAGATAGAAATATTACTAAAAAAATTGGTGTTAAATTTTGTCTGACAATTCACCGCAGTCAACATGTTTGAAGCCCATTTCGAGATCCTATTTCCAAAATATGACGCTAAAATGAGCATTATTATATAGGATGTATGAAAATTAATCATCGCAGTCATTACAATCGTTGAAGATAGTTATAATATTAGATTATAAGATACGATAAAGAAATTACAGACAAAAATTAAACAAAATAGTAATAGCAATAAATAAAATTATATGAAAAAGATGGCAAAGAATTTCAGGACAAATTAGAAGAAAAAGTACGAGGTTAGAAACAATATCAAATGTATAGTTCGAGTTATCGATATTGGGAAAATGTCAATCGACACGATTAAAAAAGTTTAATTAAAAAGTCGATAGTCAAATACGATATCGAATTTCACTGTTTGCAAGAAGATCTATTGATAATGGCCTTTACCTTTGTACTAATAGATAACTTAATAACATAATGCGTTCAAATCCTGCATGTGATATAAAAGAGCTGGTTGAAAATAGATACATCAGTGATCTGGTTTTCAGCCTCTAATGAAGGTGACATTTTTGGAAAAATTGTTAAGCCACGAAGAAAACAGGAAATTCAATCACCATGCATCGACTAGGGTTTCTTGCAATGGTAAGCATTTATAAAAATTTATCGAAAATTTCATATAAAATTTTATTTAAAATTCGAAAATTTAAACCTGAATCCTTATTATATTGCTGCTATAACGAGAAATAGTGAATTATATTGTAAAGTATTTGTACATTTTGTCTTAGAAGTCGTATCCTGTATGTATATGTCTATATATGTGGATATATGCATATGTAGCATGTTGACAACTCTTGAACACTTTAATTACTATGGGTTTACTGCTACGTCATTAAGAAAACTTATATTGGTAATTAAACTATAAACGAGAAATGAAGATGAGGTTCTCAATCTCTAAATGTAGTTAGTTGAATATATATACTGGTAATTATAACAATGGTCCGTATCAAAAAACTGAAGGAAAGGATTTTTACACTTATTTTGTGTTGCATATATTTATATTACAATATATTATATTGTTATAATTAATTTTTTAATTTATGATATATTTAAAGCACGAAATTTTTAATATATCAAAACAAGACATATGTAACTTAGACCACTTTTATAATCATTAGCACATTATGTAAAGTTTTAACAAAAGTGGCTACACGTTAATTTAGCCCAAACTAGCATTAATTTAATAACAAATGATCTAAACTAAAGGTTCCATTTCACTGTTACATAAATTTTGGTTGTTTTAGATTTAAATGCAATGGCTTACATCCGAGTCAAACGAACACACACACGCACACAATGAACAAAAATTTCTACGTTCTCTTTGCTGACTTTTTCATAACTGAATTCTTTCGGAATTTTTTCGATACTAAAACTTCACTAGAAGAAGAGATGGAGGAGAACTCTCAGCTTAATTTTTCGTTTATAATTTATATAAACGACCGTAGAAACACCTACTGCGATAAAAGGCGATCGTACACAAACGTTACAAACAAATACACCGTCATGGACAGACGTGTATACACATAATTCATCATAACAGCAGTACAAATTGTTTGCGGAATATCTCGAATACTAAGGCCAAATATCTGCTATATTTATAAGAGAAAATTCGAAATATCGATTTCTGTAGAATATTTAAAAATCAATGCCGTGTGTCTTAATCTAAATAATTACTTCTGCGTTCTTTACCATCGAGCTATTAGTATGCCCCCGTTTATTTACCACGCTGATAGATACTAACTCATTTAAGATGTTACACACAGTTGTTAATTTGCAACGTAAATCGTAATTAAATTTAACCTTTTTCAAATTTATCTCTTCATATACAACTTTTACGAGTACGTAAGTGGTTACCACAATTATGGGGCAACAGCTGAGATTGTCATTTATACGTAGAAATGAGAACTATTTTCTAAATTGATGAAATATGTCAAAGAAGTAAATACGAATAGCGAAACACATTCTTCAAATTTCTATAACTTCGGCGGATATTAAAAATTTCTATTCCCCGATAACGAAGAACGGCTTGGGTTAGGTCTTTTGAATTCGACACATCGCAAATTACGAGGTTTCTGAAATTACAATCGAAACGAATCCTTGTGTGAGGAAGGTCTACCAAATCTTGAATTACACGGACAAAATGAGAACAATGATAGTACTCACCTATTTCTGCCAAGTACTAATGTTGTTAAGAATCTGTTGTCTTGGAACTTCAATCGTTCCTCTTCTGTAGATATAGGCGCCGCGGCGCCAAGTGTGCCGGTCTTACGTTGCCTCATGCTGCCCGTAATTCTACGCACATAGAAACACTCGTGTTAAACCGGTTGCATATCCCAGGCGTCCTTATACTCGGCTGTACTCATTCATAATTACAGTGAAACATTTATTAATGAGATACTGGTCATTAGAACATGAATGGAACAGAATATGACTTCAATAAAATTCAACGAATTGTTCTCAAATCTAAACACAAACTTGAACTTTAACATCGGTGAAATCTCTTTGTACGAAAATTGATTTGCATAGAAAAAGTTCAGACATCGTATATGCACTTCTTTTAAAGAGAATAGGGGACTATCCTACATCGCTTTAACCTTTCTACAAAATTATTATTGTTCGTTTCGTTGTTGTTTGCTCCCGATTGTTATTAACCCCTTGCACTGCGATTTAATTATGAAAAGTTATGCATTGAAGTAGTATTTAATTTTAATTCACCACTATATACTTATTCCATTCATGATAAAATTAGATAAAAATTTTAGAAATTCTTCTAATTTTGTGCATGTCGAAACGTATGAAATATAACTATAGTCGTGTAATTATTATAACTTATAATCGTGAGATTTGACATAAAGAATTCGGGATGAATTAGACTCGTTGTTGCAGTGCAGAGGGTTAATATTGGAATGTTCTTACTTTGTCATTTTCCGAATATCTCTTATTTACTTTAGCAAAGAACGATTAATTTACTATCGTTAGATATTATTCCGCAATTTTCAATTTTGCAGCTTTCAGTATTATTGCAATGTTATTTAATGTTTTTCTATCCTGCCAACATATTATTTGCATTTATCCACAACGCAGCCTGAGGACCCTAGGCTGTCAGCGTGTGGAATATTTCTAAATTGGCGGTCAGTCGATTGTCACCTAAATACCTAAATGGAATAATTGGAGCTGGATTGGCCTTACCGGCTATTTTTAGCCAACATCAAGGGGTAGCCCCTATCTTGCTACCTAAAAATAATCCGATAGCGAATGGATCTTTGGCTGTTTTCAGACTGCAGCTTCAAGAAACATTTTCTCTCGCTTCCTCTATTAAATATTTTGAACCAACATTGAAAATTTCCGTGAAACTAAAGAAGAAAAGGAAAACAATTTTTATACCTTTAAGGAGCAATTTTCATTTTCTGAATACTTGTAACATTCCTGTACACGTCATTCGCGATCTGCTAATAGATTTAAATCCGTCCTCGCGAAAATATCTTGCTAGTACGATCTAATTGTCTCTTTAAACACGGGGAACTCGTGCGCATTCCTTTTTAATGTGGTTATACATAAGCCCCCGTGTCTTAAGCGTGAAATATTCCCCAGGAAATTTCTCCTAGCGATGGAAACTTTAGCTATTCTTTTATAGCTAAAAAAGGCATCGGTGTGTTAATCGAATTCGCATAATTCAGATATTAGCTTATAATAGCTCGAATATTTTGCAAAAGCAGATATAGAAAAGGATACACAAGGCTATGCACAGTTTCCTGCACACGTTGGCCAAACAATGTAAAGGCACATTAGAAACAGCATATGCAATAAGATGAAGAAGTAAAAATTCGAGAGGATCATGCGAGATGAGTGTAGGTAGAGCCTCATGCTGACTATAAACTTAAATTAAAGTCCTTGTTCTGCTCGGGAAATTAAACTTTTAACCCAAATAAGAGGCTCGTGCAAGACCTTCTACTCTAACGTGCTTTAAAACAGCTTTACAACGAAAAAAATCGGAAACTAAGAATTTTTCTATCTATTAAAGAATTATAACATCTGCAAACGGTATAACTGAGTAATTATAATGTGAAAGAATTAATTTCTAATTTTTTATTTCAAAGTATCAGCAGAAAGATTTGAGTCTTCGTTAACCGAATCATAATGGCGAACGGGTCTCGGATCTAGCTCGGATCTAACTGTATTTTTGTAGAGAAATAGCACATGAATGTAACCTGTACTTTTCAGTATTTCATTATAGACAGAGAGAATATACCAAAAGTTTCACTGTCAAAAAATATTTCAACATTTACGAACAATGCTGTAGCCAAACATTTCTTTATCCTTGTACTATGTATATTATACTACAATATGATGTCACGAATAGAAACAAACGGTGTTCATATTATCCTCCACCTATTGAACACACAGTTATTCAGTAATTTTTAGTGAAAAGAGAAATCGTAATTCAGAAATTCAGAGATCATAGAAAGAATAAAATATTAACGCATATGCCAGGAATAATTATTTACATGAAAGAAGCTGTGATTATGCGATATTTAATATAAAATATTTAATAGAAAGAAAGAGGAAAAGGTGATAGTGTACGAGATAAATCGCGATCAAATCGATCAAAAGAGCTGACAATAGGGGAATAGCCAGGAGAAATAAGAAAAGCAATAAAAAGAATCCATTTGTGAAGAAAGATGAGTATGAAGAAATCAAAATACAACACCTCGTGTGAATAGATATTCAATCAACTGTTAAACACATCACAATGGTACTAACAACTATCAACAGTAGTACAATAGTAAATGTATAGTAGCACAATAGTGCAGAAGTATATTATTTTCAAGACAGTGATTCAAAGCATACTGCCAAAAAAGCAAAAGAACGGCTATTATATACCGTGTCTAAACAACTTATTGCCCCACCTTAATCTCTAGATGTCAATCTTATAGAGAATTTACGCTGTACCTTAGAAATCACAAGAAAAATATTCAAACAATGAAGAAGTCAATCTCAAACACAGCAGCTATTATTGAGACTAAAAGAGAGTAAACAAAATATTGAAAGTGTATTTTGTAATTAAAAAATACGTTTGACAAAAATGATACAAACGTGTTTTGATTATGAGAGTTTCATTATTTTTATTATGTATAAGGAAATATCATAAAGCGAATGTTGCATTAATATATTTCTTTACAGGAAGTTATCTTGGGAAAGCTAAGCGTGCAAGTACTTTTCTGATCCTCTGTATGAATTCCAACCTTACAGAGTGAAAAACAGAATGATTAGACCACTTGCGACCTTATGACTGCCAATGTGGAGCAAATAACGTATTGAAACGATAGTAAACACGTCACGTAGAGTTTCGTTGGAATTCTTGCCGCATCCTTGTTGCTTGGGACGAAGGGTCTAATTGATTTCCTAAATTAACGAGTCTAATAGTCTCTTCTCTACCAATCGTTCCCGTTTACAAACCGCGTCCCGTCTACAGTTTCGTGTTCTGAATTACGTACTAACTGGTCACCTTACTTCTGCAATTCCTCAATATTTAAGCAGTGAAATTGTACAGTTCCTCTAGTTAAAAATATCTATTATTCAGTATTATTCTCTGCTTAATGTACCATGGACGTATTTAATTAGATTGTTAAAATAATAACCGTGACTATTACTTCTTGTTGAGATGATGTGTTTATTTATTTATTTAGTTCTCTGATGATGATATCAAAACTATTAACAACGTAAAGTCAACTAACATATTTGGTAAAATCACAGGAAACGACATCTATTATCGATTGGCCAGTTTCGAAACAATCTGACATTTGCCAATCCCTGTCAATAGTATCAGACAGACCATCTGTTTGTGTTTAATTTTTTCTTTGACAAGAATTACGTGAACGCTGAGTCTACTATACTCTATATCATAATTAAACCTATATGTACATTGAGCGCACATCTGTGAATATTTAGAGGAACATTTATGGAGGCATAGAGGAATATTTATGGAAACGTTAATTCTTTCAATCGATAAATAGAAAATAGAAAGAATATTGAAGATTTAAAGAAAAGAGGTGGAAAGTTTGAAACAGAATACAGCTAGAAACCATAATGATTAACGTCTATTTTAATTTCCTAAACACCACGTGAATTTATTGAAACGACTTTGCATCGAGACCAAGTCAAATGGTATATTCGTTTCAATAAACAATCTGATGATTTTAAATTAAACAACCTCGGCTCCAATTCATATTCTGCTGATTTTCTGCACGTTAAATTTTCACTATATATTTTTAATATGGACAAAGATTAGAATAATTTAAAATTTTCTTCTGATTATTAAAGTTCAAAATACTTTTCTTTAGAAATTAAGAATTTCCAGATGAAACTCGAGTTTAGCCCAACGGCATCCATCAATGGAATCTTTGCTCGGGAGGTCGAGGGTCAATTGGTTATTAACTCAGACAGCAGTAACGACTATTAAACCATTTCACTGTCATGAAAATTGCCATAAGAGAGCGAGGAAATCACGTTCTTGCACGAATCATCCCAAAATCAGAATATTAACAATGCATCAAAATTCTAGATAATTGTTCAAACATTCGTCCTGTAGTCAATTCTGACGTAATATTATGCATTATGAAATTTGCTTCATACAATCCTAATGTTCATTCATCTCAATCAACCTAAAACATATAATTTGTTTTACATATCGTTTCATCTCCGTCTATTTCATTAGAGAGACTTAAATAACATATGCTATTTCCTCTTGTTCTAACAACTAAATTCTTGCAAGTCAAGTACTATAACTCCCTGACTATTTTTATAAACAGACACCAATTCCTCAGAAACATATCATTCTGATAACACCAATTTCTCGTTTCGTTACCAGGAATATTGGCTCAAAGCACGAGCTATCAACAGAAATTCCATTTTTACATGTTCCACGGCATTGTTGATCAGCCGACAAATAGAACATACAGGGAAAAGAAAGACCAATACCTTATCTTAAGCTATCTCTTATCTGCTTATATCTTACCTGTTGGACGTTGACTTCACGGATCCATTCGCGTACAGGTCGGCTGCCATCTCAATCGAGCTGGTCCACTCGCATCTCCCCCCACTTGGATGCTTATTTATTCCAGAAGAAGCTGAAGAAAAAGTCGGTCCAACCGACTTCCTCAGCTGTCTATTGACAGCCAAAAGAAGAACCAGTTCACTGACTGCGGCTAACCTTGACCGAGTTCGTTCTCACTGGACCAGCAAACCGGTCCCAAAGCACGATCACGTCTCTGGACACCCTTACGGGAATCGTCATGTCGATTTCTTCAACAATTACAGAGTTTAATTTCCCTTTCACCGTTACTGAAGTACAATATCGATATGGTTGGAAGAAATACACAAATGGAAGAACGCAATTCGCTGAATACCGGAACGTAGAGACGCAAAAACGTCACTGTTGGCAGAAACGTAGTCGGATCATCCTGAGTTCGTCGTCGACTGAACTATGTCAGACGAGGGCACTGTCAATTGAATAACTACCTACCACACAGCGACGTGCCACCGCGTGGAGAATATGCTTGATAGCGGTCCGAGCTGACGACCTCCCTTGCTCCTTTCTGAAAGTGATAATTCGTTTTTAATTTTAGTTGCTTGATAGTGAACCTGGAATTTGGATTTATAAATACCTTGGGGGATGACAAGAATTCCTAAATGTTCATGAATTTACAATCTTCAAGGTGGAAAAGAATTTTAAGTAACTGTTGCCGAAGAATTTTCTTCTTTTCATTTTTTCACCATGATAAAAAGAGCCATCAGTGGTATAATAACTTTTAAATAGAATTAAACAATGTTTCCAATGTTTTAAAGTTACAATCTTGATGATAGAGGAATCGCTGTTCTGGAAAAATGTTATGAAATTTTTAATGATATGGGACACCTTCTACAAAGCTTTGAAGTCCAGAATGTTGATACCCAGCGATGGAAAACTTTTTAAAAAGGAAAAATAGCTTTGAATGTTAAAATCCTTAAGTTTATGTTTAATGTTAATGTACCAAAATGTTTCATAGGTATTTTATTTTTAACTTCTATTCTATTTTTCATAGGTGAGTACTATTCCACAGTCAATTTAAAGACAGCCACTGAGATCGACACTGGGAGACTAATTTATATCATACGACGCGAAGCACGTCAGCTCAATCACGATCGACCTTGCTGTCCGGTTCATACTCTGTTTTTCGCGGGAGTATCATCGTCTTTAAAGATTCGTCAACACGGCACGCTCATTTCTGATATTTCGATCCCATGGATCACGAAACTGGCTCGACTGGCACACTTTTAAATTGTTAACAAATGATCTTCACTGAATTAGTTGAGCATGTTTCTGGTATATTTGTTTTAACGCAAATATTTTAATACAATTTCAAGAAATATACTTAAAAATTACTCTTATGCATGCTATTATACATTTTTACTTAAAATTTATAAGTGAAATAACTTTCATAAAAATGATTGATGTTTTCGTTGAAATGGTCAAGACGATGATATTATGAGCTTTTTAATGACATTTTGTGTAGTCGTATTGCGTCATCGTTAAAATTCAAGCATCGACGGAGGTCTCAGTCAGCGTTAGAGACCTATCAAACTTGATAAAGCATAAATCGCATGCAGAGGGTTCTGCCAAGTGGGTATGGAAGTGGAGTGAATCGGTCTAATAATGTAACTGACGAAACATCAGAACGATCGTTGATTATTGATGACTCGCGTTTCACGCAGATTTGATCCCCTGACTTTCACTATTTCTCCTTATCATAGCATATAACATCCTTATTTTGTTATTTATAACATGATGCTGTTATATTTTTATTATACAATCCATATTTTTATGATTAGTATAGTTCATAATTCCATAAGGATAACTGATTCTTTGCAGAAAATATGAAATTGTTTGTAGAATGTTGTAATATATCATATCTTTTTACTAAATAATTCATATTTAAAAGTGTTTAGTAATTTACCTCTTAATGAAAATAAGAAAAATTAATTAATTCGTTTTAGTTGATTAAAAACTTGATTGATCTCATCTTTGCATAAAAAATAAACAATTATCAAAATGATACAAAATTAGCTTCATCATATTATTTTATCTATAATTTGCAAACTTCGTAGTTTGCAGCTTTAGCAGTGGTGGCGCAAGGTTCTTACGACGTCTGCAAGAGATGCAACAGGAGTTCTCAGATGTTAGAATCACAGAATTTTTACTATCCTGAACAACGTCTTTCTCTGCTACAGGATGCCTTGTATCTACCTGAAGAAGATCACATCGAGATGTCTGACAACAATCAACAACAGTCTCTTAATCGAGCTAATAGAAATTTATTACATGTCAGTCATGGTGTGTCTGATAGAAAGAAATAAACGAAAAGCAAAATTTAATGTTCTATACTTTGCCTATAGGAATATCGTAGTTTATGCGAAACTGTAACAAAAGAAGTACGGCTAGATGATTCTGAATACGAATATCAACCACCCTATTACCATGAAGTTTATTGTAAAAGTTATTCGTTGCTAAATAACTTGCATCACGTCATGAATCCACCGAAACAGGTAGTTTGCAAAATAAATTCCATTTAAACAAAAATTACCTAAGATTTAAAGCAGAAGCTTCCAATGGGTAGTTGATAACATAGCTATCTCTCAGATAAAAAGAGAGTCCGCAGCCTGAAAAAATAAATTATTTTTTTTTTGTTTTTGTAACTGTAAGTAATATCTAAAAGAATTATGCGTTCTATAAATTAATACTTATATCTTATTAATATAATATTATAAAATATTGAAAGAACCTTTTGTTAATGAATTTTCTTGCAAGATTTGTGTAGGAGTTGGAGACTTTTTGTATTCTTCTCTCATATTATATGGCATATGTATATTTCAGACATGCGTGCATTCTGCTTTTCATTGCGTGCAAAGAAGGAAAACATTACTATTAATAAGGCGACGATGGGATAGTGAATGTTGGGAACCTTTCACTAAGCAGATTACCAGTGGTTGTGATTGTATGTGGCCAGTTTCTGCTCTTGGAGATATAACTAATCATTATTAGTCACCTCTTTGAGATCGCAAATGAAACAAGGAGATTGATGATTAAAAATAGAAATATCAATTCTTCTAACATTCCTTTTTAATCAATTAATTATTTGGTAGAGCAAAATGTTAAAATAATTATACATATTATGAATTATGTAAATGTAATCTGTACTATTTATTTGTCATGTAGTGTTTATTTCACCGTTTTTCTTGTCTGTATGGCTGTGAGTGTTTAACAAAATAAAAAAGATTTTTCTTTCTGTATACCTAAAATTTATTTTGTATGGTGAATATTTATTAAAGAACGAAAGAAATAAATTTCGATATAAAACTATTCTGTTTACGTGATATATACATTATTTCCACGCGTTTGCTTTATGTTTCGGTAAAAAGTGAAATCCTTCAGGCACTTTTCCAAGTAACATTTCCCTAAAAATAAACCAAAGTAAAAGAAAATAATTATATTGGATATGATAGTAAATAAAAATATTTTTACGATAATTTTGTCCAATCTGCACAGTTCGAACTAGCCATTAACGTTTCCATTTCATCGCGACCTCTATAAAATGGAGGTCTTTCGTTAATTCTTTGCGGAGGTCTTTCTAATATTCCAACTGGAATATACCTAATTAAAAATAGAAGTTAATAATTTATATGTCATAATTCATTACAATATTAAAGTTACCTGTGTAAAAAAGATATCCATTCTAACATGAATCTTCTCGTTGTTTCGACCCCACGAGTATCTGAACCCCAATGTTCAAGACCATATTTTGAATATTTTTTCAAAATTTCAAATCTTTCTGCACTCGATATATCGATCAATTTTTTTTCTTTTATTTCTGTAAATATCCATGGCTTTATCAGTGCACCACGGCCTATGGCGATACCGCACACAGATGTATACGAGTCTCGAACTCTTTGATAATCATCAAATGATAAAATATCTCCATTTCCAAACACTGGAACAGGATGAGCTATTTTTGCACACTTTTCTATATAATCCCAATCAGCTAATTTCGTATACCTTTGTTCACGAGATCTTCCATGAACCTATATTAATTTATGGTTAATGATCAATAACTTTTAATATAATTTATAACAATTTTATGATAACAATTTAAAAATATAATTAACTTACTCACAGTAATCATAGACACACCCCAATCACGAAACTTTGGCATCAAAGTGTGTGCAATAGGTTTGTCTATGTATACTCCTGTCCTAGTTTTTAGAGTTAAAGGTATATCCATAACTTGACTAACAGATTTCACAACAGTTTCTAGAACATTCAATCGATTCAACATACCACTGCCGCCACCTTGTCTGTAAATTAAATCTATGGGACAACCTAGGTTCAAATCAATGAAGTCGATATTAATTTCTTCATTCAACAACTGAGCACATCTTGTTAATACACCTGGATTGTTTCCACAAAGCTGTACACCAAAAATGTCTTCAGATTCATGTCTTTTCACTAGTGCCCATTCTTCATGAGCTCCTTTCAATATCCTCGGTGCCAAAGCCATTTCTCCACAAGTTATATCTGCTCCATATTCTTTACAAATTCTTCTAAATGGCAAATTACCAACTGTTGTCAATGGACTTAACAATATTTTATTTTTCCAATCAATTGCTTTTTTTTCTACACCTCTACATTTTATTAAATCATAATCTTCAACAGGACCAATCCTCTTTTCAGTATTTTGAATTTCAAAAACCTCATTCTGAGAGTCACTGACACATGTGTCTAACATTAAATTATTTCTTATCTCTAGTTTATTTTTGTTTGAGGATTCTTCAATCTGTTTCACATTTTCTATCACCAATTTTTTTCTACATGGTTCATTTGTTTTAACAATATTTTCTGCTTTAGAAAAATTATATTTATGTTTTCTTAATTGAATTTGAATATTTTTAGTTAAATGATTTTTTGTAGAAGGTGGTTTTTTCTTAAATTCCTCTTCCCTTTCTTTATCAATAATATTTAAACCTTCTTTTGTTAGATGTTCAGAACCCATTCTACAAGCTGTGCCTCGTGGACATCTGCCACTAAGTTTAAAAAGATAACATTCATTTGCAATGTCATCTGGTTTGATTTCTAAATATTTAATTCTATCATGCAAAAATATACACTGTTTATTGTCACATTTTTTTTCAGGCTCATCCACTGCTTGGTCTGCTATCCAAGGACATAAATTTAGCTCACGTTGTGTCTTAAATGGTGGTGGTCTTGCTTTATTTTGTCCTCTAAGTTTTTCTTTTTTATTATCATTTTTAAATTTCTTAGATGGAGGTTCATCTAATACAGAAGCATCATCATTTATACTACTCGTATTAATTGAAACTTTCTGTTTATCAATTTCAGTTAAACACTTTTTGCTTAGAAGTCTTACATGATCTTCTATAACATACCTGTAACAATCTTAAATTAACATATACGATTGCAACACTTAACAAAAATTTTCTAATGCATAAAATAAATTATTTAAAAAATATGATAATTTAAAATTTATGACAGAAGGCCACGCGGTTCATATAAATTAAGGTTATCTAGCATATGATTATAATAAATCGCAATAATTTCGAAAAATCTAAACAGTTTTAATAAATATAATAGTGTTTACTTACTGTTCTTTAATTAAACATACACCTTTTTGTTTATCTTCATTGTAATCAAACGAACAATCCTCTGCACACTTTTCACTGTAATCCGCCATTTCAAACAACTCGATGTATTAAATTGCGAGAAATCGATCATTGATAATTGAGAGGAAAACTTCCTAAACTCTAATTCATAACATAATAAAAACAAAATTAATTAATAGGTCATTACAAAGATTGAATTAGTATTTCTATACTATCTACAAATTATTAATAACATTTATTGAGTTTCTATTGCTATATAAAATGCATTCAGGCTTTACATATGCAATACAAGGTAGTTTTCCAAAAATGAAATATTGATTGCATGTTATATAATTTTTGCATGACACAAATACAAGTTAATGATTTTGCTAAATTCTATATTATAGGAAATTTTAGAATGTTGAACAAAATAAGCTTGTAATCCTTCTTATTACTGTAAGAAAAAAATAGAATTACTAATTTCGTTAAATTTCGTCATTTATTTGTATAGAAATTGACTATTTAAATATTTTTTTTATCCTTATTGTGTGATTTGAGTAATTAAAAAATGGAGAACAATGGTTCGCAATAGACAACCTTTGAATATTAACAATTAATAACTGTTTAAGTTAAAAAAAATTGAATACATATTTTTATTACTAATAAATAAAATTCGCAATTACTTAGATTAAGTATTTATTCAAAATTTAATTAATGTACAAAATTTTTTAATTTAACGATTATATCTTTTAGGATTTGTAATTCTGGATAGAAATGAAAAAAAAATCTAATAAAATCATAAATCCTCATTTTTTTATAATATCCAAATTACTCTAAAATGAAATTTCACGTTTAATATGGGAGTTACTCTAATATTGTACATTGCACTTGCCTACGTTTTCTCTATATGTCATTATGTTTCCATGAGAAACATTCGTTATGAAATCCATTCAATAATGCTAGACAGAACCTTGACGTGGATCAAGAACGATCCGCTGTAGCGAGAAATTCATACCAGTCGTATTCGCGAACGACATTGCGATATACCTGGTAAGTTTATATACTTGACAATACACTTCTGTCTATTCATAAACATCATAGACTATTATTGATTTGACAAAAATGTCAATTATCATTAATGTCATTTACGATTAATCATAACAAATTCCTTCATACAATCAAATTCGATTATCACAATTTAAATCATTGCAAAAATAATATTGATACTTGTGTGATTTATTAGAGACATTAGTAAATAAATGACTAGATGAATACCATTCATTGTACTAAATATTGTAAACTAAATCTTAAAGATTATAATAAAACTTTCAGATATTATAATTATATCACAATATACAAAATAAAATTATTTATTTGATATTTTATTATTAAAATATGAACAGTATTCTATTATTAATTTTTTGATGTTTACTTTTATTATTGTGTTTATTAGTGTATAAGTCATAAATAACACTGTTTTTTCAAATAAGAATTCTTAATGTGATTAATAATTAGAACTATTGAATATGACAAAAGTTTAAACAATATGAGCTTTGAAAGTCTTAACTTCAGTAAATAATGTCAGCAAATAATACTTAATTACTACCATAAATATATGATGCTTAACACTAGAGGCTTAATAGATTAGATTGTATCTTTATTAGTTTGAAGTACAGGTACAATATCTTTGAATTCATTTCAGTTAAAATAGTTCCTCATTTAACAAAATTGTTCATAGATTAATGCAATATTGTATAATATATGTGTTAAAATATTTAAACTTGACAGATTATTATTTTTTTGTATCAATAAAGGAATAGAATGGAAACAGTAGGTACATTACAATGGGAGGATTACTTGGTTATTGTAGCCACACTATGCTTAAGTATTGGCACAGGTATCTATTATCGATTCAGTGGTGGACGACAAAAAACTATGGAAGTATGTATATCATTCTTATATAATTATAGCTTTGGAAATAATATTGAATTTAAGCAGTGAAAAATTATGTTCTGAGCAGGAATATTTCATTGCCAATAAATCCATGAACATTATACCTGTTGGTATTGCACTAGTAGTTTCCTTCATGTCTGCAATTACCTTATTAGGAGTTTCTGCAGAAAACTACACATATGGAACACAATTTGTAGTAATTAATTTATCATATCTCATAGGAACTCCTATTGTTTGTTATGGATTTCTACCAGTATTTTTTAAACTTCAAGCAACAAGTGCTTATGAGGTTTGTATAATACACATACTTGAAATAATAACAAAAAACTATGTATTTAAGTTATATCTTTTCCTTCTTTAGTACTTAGAAAAACGTTTTGGAATAATAGCTAGGATGATGGCTAGTTTTGTTTACTGGCTACAGCTGCTTCTGTATTCAGGTGTTGTACTTTATGCCCCTGCTTTAGCATTGGAAGCAACAACAGGAATTTCTAAAGCTACCAGCATTATTGTTATTGGAATAGTTTGTTCATTTTATTCAAGCATAGGAGGCATTAAAGCTGTACTAATTACAGATGTGTTCCAAGGACTACTCATGTTTATTTCTGTTTTTGTTATTATTATCATAGCTGCTAATGAAGCTGGAAGTTTAGGAAAAATCTGGCAAATAGCAGACGAAGGAAATAGAATTCAATTTGATAGGTATAATATGCTTTAATATATCTCAATTTCGGAAAATTATTCCACCATTAATTGTGCAATATTTTCTTAGTATTTCTATAGACCCTACAGTTCGACACACTTGGTGGTCCCTCACTATTGGTGGTTTATTCACGTTCCTATCATTGTATGGCGTAAATCAAGTTCAAGTGCAACGTTTATTGACAGTAAAGTAAGTATTATAATAAATTAAAATAAAAATTATTATTAATTTATGTAATATTTTTAGAGATATAAAAGCATCACAAAAAGCACTCTGGTTGTCATGGCCAATTTTATCATTACTTTCATTTACTACATGTTTCTCAGGTTTAGCAATATATAGTAAATATTATAAATGTGATCCATTACTTCAAAAAAGAATATCATCAATAGATATGTTGATGCCATTATATGTAATGGATACTATGTCTAATAAACCTGGTTTACCTGGTATTTTCATAGCAGGTGAAGTTTATAAATATTTTAATACCTAAACATATGAAGAAACATGTGAAGAAATAATAATTTCAAACAATCTTACTACTATGTTGCTTAGGTATTTTTAGTGCTAGTCTCAGCACTATTTCAGCAGCGTTAAATTCGTTGGCAGCGGTAACACTAGAAGATTATTTAAAACCAGTATATAAAAAATGTTGCGGTAGGGAATTCTCTTTGACTATGTCGACAAATCTGGCCAAATTACTCGTTTTATTGTATGGATTTATTTCTGTTGCTTTGGCATTCTTGGCACAATTATTAGGTGGTGTTTTACAGGTCTAGTTTTTATCTATTACATTACAAAAATATTCAATTAATATTATTTAATATTATATTATAAAACATACGTTATATTATGTTATATTATATATTATATAATAAAAACATAATAAAATTTTATTCAAATGAATTATTCTTGTATTTATATTGTAGGCTGGATTAACAATATTTGGAGTAGTGGGTGGCCCTCTTCTGGGCCTTTTTACCCTTGGAATGCTCACAGAAACAGCTACAGAAATAGGATCCGTAACAGGTGCCACTATTGCCCTAGTATTTCTATTTTGGATTGCTTTTGGACAACCTAGACCTATTACTCCAACACTGCCAGTGACTGATATTGATTGTCCAAATGCAACCCTTTCTACCTTGCAGACACAATTCATGCGGTAAACAGAGAATTTTTATTCTAAAAACATTTAATATATTAATTTTTTAGAAATGTGTTATATGTTTTCTTTTTTTAATTTTAGGAAACAAGATGATTCATCTTACTTCTATTTATATCGAATCTCCTATATGTGGTATTGTCCTCTTGGATTTCTGATAACGTTTGTCATTGGATTACTCCTTAGCTTTTGTATGAAGCGGATATTTAAAAAACAGAAACTTGAGTTGGACCCAAACTTATTCTTTCCTATAATAGGAGAACGTATACGTCGTAGGCGTGAGCAGACTTTTGGTTATGAGAACCAGGTATCAAAACATGCCACTATGTCCAAAAAGTATGTTTTTACTATAAATGCAACTAACAACGAGGAAACTATTGAAGATATGAATACCACCAAGCTTTAACTTAATTTTGAATTAATCGGTTGCATTTGTCGAGCGGTATTTTAGATCTTAAACATTCCGTACTTCAATTTCTAAGTTTAAGTATGGCGTGAAACTTAAAAAAAAAATCTTTAATGCAAATCTTGATAAAAAAACGAATTAATATGTCCAAAAAAGAAATATGTCTTCCATTTGTTAGTTTTAAACTGCCATTTTGTAACTTTTTTAAGATTATGTAAAATAAGTAGAGAATTTTATAGGGATGTTGTTATGTAGATTTCTTTGTTGTACATTATATAATTTGTAATCAGTGATATTCTAACCACAGTACTTATCCAAACCTAATTGAGCATATCTAATTATAAATCACTGTTAAGTATTAAGAACATTGTACAAATGACTTAATGAAATTATATTTACTAAACAGATGTAACGCTAGTTTTCCTAATTAAACAACAATAACTCTAGAAATTTAGAACTATAGATCATAAAACTTGTGCTGTACATTATCATTGCATACAAAAATTATTTTGATATAACATGAAATAATGTTTAATACACATTGCCTTGTGTAAAGAACATTTTATAAAATGCATATCTGCAAATGAGATCTGTAATTAATTAATACAATAAACGCTACTAATTTTTTCGTATAACCTTCTCTTCAGTATGTAACGAAATATTTGCCTGTGCTATATAACAAGAGTTAATAAAACAGTATGTATGTGAAAGAAGATGAAAGAAGATGATGTTTAGAGTACTAGCAATTATTTTCAGTCTCTCCTCTTGTTTATCCAATGAAGAATCAAGTAATTACAATTAACAGTAAGACAATGGAGCAATGGGAATGGGAATTTATTGCTAGAAATAATATGTTAGTAATAATTTAAAACAACTGAAATTTGTGGCTTTTAATCTCAAAGCCTAGTTATTAGTTGTTTCTTCAATGAAATAAGTTAGAAGAATTAAAATTCTTGTAAATTGTATCAACAAAGAAAAAATTACAACTTTTTAAAATATTTTATTCTTCATTTTCATTTTTAATAAATTGTGTAACTAGTAACTTCCATACAAATGAGATTTAATTGTAACTTCTGAAATTTTTCAGGATTTCTGGTAGGAGAATTTCCCTAAAATTAATTTCTAGTTAAATTTTGTTAGGAACTTGTGAAATTTTGAAAGGGAAATAAAAAGAGAAGTCTCAATAGAAGCTTCTACAAAAGAAAGTGAACTATCTAAGGTGTTTCTGGAGAGACTCGGCCAGTCCCAGATCAAACTACTGGTGGCCAGTTGAAACCAGTTTCAATTTATTCGTGACTCGCGCTTCAATCGGCAATGGGCTCTTTTTAATTATTTTTCTAGCGAAACTGTGGCCGCCATTTTCCACGTTGACTTCTTCTTTAACGGGCAATTAATCCATTAAGAAATCCAACTGACATTCTTTTGAAACGAGGTGTCGAATGTTTTGTTGGCCTACAGCTAGCGAAAATAAATTCTATTTCTAATACATACGATGTTCATAACAATCTCGTTTTCAAATTTAAGTCCAAATATAATATTTTTCGTTAGAACTTCTTTGAAATAACCTATTTTACTCTACTAAACTTAACAATTTGTCATAATAAATAATCTGTTTAGTTATAAAGAATGTATTTATTTATACCACAATTATTCCTTTATTGAATATTTTAATAAAAAATTTGGAGATATTTGGATCAAAATTATTAAAAATTACACTAAAAATATATTTGCGAATAATTCAGATTTATCTTATAATAATTTTTTGAACTCTTAATAAATAAGGAAATTACTTCAAAAAAAGAGAAAGAAAAACTGATATAATAGTCATTTAAATAAAAATTCAACGCGTTATGTGAACTAAATTTTTATTTAGTTCATTAATTTTAAAAATTAACGTATTATATTCACCTTTATCATAGTTGCTTCTGTTTATTTTTCTGAGATTCTCTTTCCTCTTCGTCTCCCCTCTCACCCTTTCTTCCTTTCTCTTCCTCGTGAAATTCAACACAACACAGGATTCTCTCATCTATCTTCGAAGTCAACGGTTTCTTTGTCTTGATTTTGCGACATTATGCGGGAAAAACTGAGGAAAAATCGAGAAAGTAGGAAATGTGTAAAACTTTAGCTCAGGCGTATTGACGATCGAGGAATTTTATTAAACCAGACTAGAGCAAGAATATAGATTATAGGGACATTAAAAGAGCAGTGACTTTAGAATACGTGCGTGTGTTTACGTGTATCCAGCTGATGGAGTGTATGAAAAATTTCAATATAGATTTGAAGTACCGTTTTAATTATTTGCAGATAGAAAATTTCTTTGACGAAAGGGTAAGTATTTATATTTGCATCGAGATACTTCCGAAAGTAATTTTAACTAACTAAAACGTTAAAACTAATTTTAACGAATTACATCGAAGAATCGAAATTCGACTACATTTGTATAAAATTTCAGTAGTTTCTCGTGTATATTTAAAAAAAAAAATTAATTTTCGATTTTCATTTTCATATTTTACGTTACTCGATATTAATTTTTGGATTTAAAAAATGGTTCAACATCTTCGAGCATCTCCGCAAATATACTTCAAAATGAAACTAATTTTACATTTCTATGTTATTTGGAACTTTTATATTTCCTATAATGTAATCACACCAATTGTTGCATTATAGAAACGTATTTTGATGACGTTTTTAAAAGAAAAAATTTATTAGGTGATACTGAAATTACTGAATCATTGATGGGTGGTAATCTTGAGTTTTATGTGTTCATTCATCAATGAATTAAACTAACGTGAGTCACGCGTTCCCAGTAGAATTGGCATAATCACTGATTAATCAGTGGAGATCTCTCGCCTCTCCCCACTTCCCAGTAATTTCACTGTTTTCATACGTATGCAGGTGTATATTACATTATATCGTACCGAATTAGTGTACGATTCAAATTATCCACGATGTCAACTAAAAAATTTTAAAAACATTTAATCACATTTCGAAATTGAAAAAAAAAAAAATATTTTTTTTTAACCTCTTTCAACAGATTTCGTCTATCACGAAAATATTTTTTAATAACGAATAAACCATAGCATGCTCAATTTCAATAAATTTGACAATTAAACAGTTCGAGATATTTTTTCGAAATATAATTTTATCAACACTTTAATAAAATCACTAGAAATCACCAACTATAGGTTCTATAAATTTTGATCCACGTTTGATAAATATTTGTTGAATAAAATTGAAAAAAATTATTATTAATTAACCAGTAATAAAAATTATTAAACTTTTTCATCGAAGTCCTACAGCCCGACTTCTGTAAACTGTACACATATAAATCTCTTTAAACGTTGCTTTATAATTCCGAGAAAAGCAATAAAATAGCAGACTCATTGAGGAAAACCCATGACATTTTATCGTTAAAATGAATAATCAAAGGGTACAGAGAAAACTATTCTGTTATGGTACCCTACAATAAGTACACATTCTTCTTCCTCCAAATTAATTTTTAAAATATATTTTTCGGATGATCTATTATAAATTGTAGATATATATTCATCATCTTATATAGCAACTTCGTAATTCTTACGAGGCTGGTGTTTCGCCGCATTTTACCATAAAAATTCTCTTCTATGAATAGAAGTATCAAAGATCTAGCACTTCAAGAATCGTCATTTATTTACAACCCTTTAAATGACAACCGGTTGGATCCCGTTTCAACTGACTGTAAACACAGTTTTCATGTATACTCTGGTTCGTTGTCGATTTTTCATGTTACAATCTGGAGCTTATAGAGCGAGCAGTTGCAGTTTATCAGCATTCTTTATCGTGGGAACCATTGCGAGTTTACTCCTGTTACTGATCTTAGTAATTTTTCTACATTTTCGAACAGAGTTGCTTCGTGCACACGATGAAGAACGAGAAGATGAGAACTGTGAGTTTGTAGAAAAGAAGAAAGTGAAAGACGAAGAAAATAATAACTTGGAATCGCTAGATCTCATTTTCTTCTTTTTAGCATTACTTCTTAGCATTTTCGTATTAAAATTCCTCCTAAAATGACATGTCTTAATTTCTTCTTCGACTTCTTTGGTGATTATATTTCTTCCTGTTATAGCCCACTGTGTTTATTGTAGCGTTTATTATAAATTTATATTTAACGTGATTACGTGACAATGGTAATCATTGATAATCCAAATTACTGTGTTTATAACTTTGAAATTTTTTAAATTTAGAATTTTGTTTGACAAAGAGACGCAGAGAAATATGGTACAATTTTATACCATTTACCTTCAACCTGAAGAAATAATTACAATTTCGATTGTTATCATAAGAAGAAGAAAATTAAGAAGATTTAATTCCAAACCAAACTTTCTAATAAAAAATTAAAGGGGGGTCGAATAAGCGTTTTAATTTCTAATCTTGCGATTTTCAGCAGAAGAAATTGTTCCAGATAAGTACCTTTTTCGACCTACATTTTCAAGCTGATTGTCTTCCTCTGATCGTTAATAACGATGTGCCTGAAATTGAACGACTAATGAGCAAAGGAGTGAGCGATCATATTAAATTCCACAATTTTCCTCAGTTACACAAATATTTCGAAAATCTTGGTACCATTAAACGTGAGTTTTCATTTCTATGATTCTTCATTGCAAGCTTCTCAGTTAACTCTTAAGTTATCCTTAACTTCGACCATCTAATTAGCATCCTCGTATCTCTATCTAGCAGCCATCTCTTCGAGAGCTCCAAAATACTCAGGAATTCTCCGTTTCACCTTCGCCATCTCACTTCTGATGGATGCATTACACATCGGATACAGGGTGACATCGTGTGATCTTAGATGCATGTAACTTTCTTGGTGCGGCGTAATTATCGTTAGTGTTTCCATAAGTCGACGGAATGGAAGAAACTCACGGCCCTGGAAGGGGGTGCTTCGTATAAATGGACACATGTGACAATTAAAACGACAGTCTGAAATCGTTCTCCGCTTAATCCGTCGGCTCCGTTCCCAACGAGGCGCGTGAAACCGAGTGTCCTAATTAATTAATCGGTCAGAGTACCTCCGCGTCTTCTTCGATTCCGGCAGGATCATCCCGAGCGAGCAGTTCGATCTGTCGATCGCTAGAAAATCCGAGCATATATGCGTTACATCAGGAAGACCAGCAGCAAGATCATTCAGCTGCAATTTCGTACCTTTTTACCAGCCACAGACCATCATTAGCACCTCAAAGGCTCATTTTCGTATCTTTTCTTCGACCCCTTCTCGTTTTCTTCTTGCTGTTCCTTGGACCAGGACTGGGACCGCGATTGGACAATCTAAGATTTGTGAAGAGGTAGGAGATTTTAACATGTTCACTGCCATGCATATTTTATATGCTCAGGCCATGATAAAATTTCTATTATTCTTAGGATATAATGAATTAAGCAATATGGTGGAAGAAGGAAGAAAATAGCGAACTTCTCATTTTGCAATGTTCTCTGTTCAATTACGTTATTCAAATTCTCGAAAAGGAGACAATGGCAGTCAACGTGTTAATTCCCAAGATTTTAAGTACTTTTCATTTTTGATAGGATTGCTGGAATGGTTTACCTTGTATAAGTTAAATGCTTGATGTAGAATGTTCTTAAAGTCTTTTAAGATCCTCGGAATAATCTTGAGATATTTATACGTAGATTGCTAATCTTGAAGTTTTCGAAGGAAGTTCTTCTAGTATCACTTTCCTTAAAAAGGTCGACATTTTTTAAAGAGGACGTTTCAAGATCCCCAGTGTCCAATACCGTGAAGTAGGTGTTGGTCTTGAAGTTTTCGAAGAGAATGCTTTCAATTCTAATGGAAATAAGAGAATCTTCAAGAAAATCCGAAATTGTTCTTAATAACAAAGAAGATTCCGAAATTTTTAAGAAAATTTCTTGTCTCCTTTCAAAAAGTTGATTAAGTAAACATGAGATATTATTTTACAATTGAAAATTCGAAAATTTATTTATGTTATTTTTGCTAACTAGTGACACGATGGATGCTAGTTACCTCTTCAAATTGTATGTCAATTATTTACATAAATTTATAGAAAAAGCACCCTGTGCGAATAAATAGCTAATATTATAACCAAAAACGAGGCAGAGAGTACGAAGAAAATAAATACAGCTTGGTTACTCCATTCATTCGTTCATCTGTCCTGTAATAGACGATATTCACGAGTACCTGGGTCTTATAGCAATTACGTAACAGACACCCTATGTTTCCACTCGTTAAATTCTAAATGAATCAGAATCATAATTCGAGCTCTGTTTCCTATTGAAATTCTGATGGTAACCACGACTATTCGAGGACCTAAATCAATTTATTATCATCAATTCTGGACGAGTTCGTAATTCCACTGTCAAGTCAAAACTATTCTCCAGCTTTGAAACAGCATTCTTCATAATTCCTGAATGTTCTTTCATTTCTTAAATTTTAGAGTTAAAAAGTAACACCGAAAATAAAATATAAAATACAATTGTGAGAAAACCCGCATTTTCATCGGTGTTCCCCATAGAAGATAGTTTAGGTTCATCGAAACCGGTTTCAACCAGAGTCTCAGTGACTCGATGATGATGATCGAGAATCATTGATATTGATAATAGAAAAGGTTGCAACTTCATTGATAATCATAGCAAGTGCTATTTGAAATATTTTCATTCATACTCGAAGTTTTAAGTCCCAACTATGTATCTCTTCTTTTACAAAGAAGCTCTAAAAATCTTCGAATTTTCATGAAAAATAGTTACGACGATATCGTGTCATTTATTGTAATCCCTAGTTTTCGTTTCTTTATTAAACAATTCAGTTATGAAATATTTCTTCGCCGACTTAACCTTATTTCAGTATTATAAGAATCGCTCAGAAGACAATGCGGTTAAGTCCATTTGTAGATATTTCCTAACTTTTGTAAATCTTAATGCAGTGAACAATATTCTATTCGGTTATTAAATGATTTACTCGGCACTTCGTTATTTCTAGGTTAGGTAGCCCTTCTTGAAAAAAGAAAACGCTTATATTAAAACGTTTTACGTATTGAAGAAGGTTAATTTCCTCAATTTCTGTTTTCTTTCCTTAATTAATTTTCTTAATTAATTTTTCTTTTCGTTCCTTAATTAATTTTCTTAATTAATTTTTCTTTTCTTTTCTCAATTAATTTTCTTAATTAATTTCTGCTTTCTTTTCTTAACCGTATTGGCTACTGATTGGCTTCTGATTAGCGACTCGTATCTAAAAGAAGAAAGAAGAAATACGAAATGTACATTGACTGAAAAACAGTCGTACATCTAAAATATCTCGCTTGTTTTTCACGGTAGAAAAAGATGTCAGAGGAACACATTAGTTGGTTCAGTGAGGCGAATATTATGAAAGTTAAAAAAATTTGATGAAGATTATATTTTTCGAGATTTCAAGGCCATCGAAGTTTTTTTAAACGATATATTTTTATTATCGCTATATGATAGCTGAGGTCAAGACGAATCGGTGTATAAAACGGTGTAGATTTCATAGGAGGTCCTCTGTCTCGTTGCATCTTTCTCCCCAGTTTACGCAAACTGGACCTATTTATCTCCGAATGAGCTGGTTCTAGCCAGAGATAACCAGATTTCTTAATGATGATTGAAAGCCGGTGTTAGCCACAACCACGGTGCGAAATTCTTCTAAACAATTCCACCCGATGGTGGGGTACTATATACGTTCATCGCACCATTCCAACCAAAGCCAGAGAGAGCACAATGCGTTACACTCTGCTTATGTAAGAAAGAAGACTAAACGACAGTGCACCCAGTCGATATGTATATTCATATGATTACGACGTGTGCGACTGTTACCAGTTTAAGTTATGTTTAAATGCAATTATCTAGGCTGGAAGGAATGAATCATAAGAACACAATTGTTTCTGAATAAGCGACTTTTTAGGAGTCAAAAATAGGTAGAGTTCTTGACAAATTTTCAAAAATCCTTCTTTGAAAATTTCTACGAAAATTCTTCTTTCGAAATATCTCTTAAAACTCCTTTTTCAAAATTTCTTTCGTTCGAAATTTCTTTGAAAATTCTTCTCCGGAGATTTCTTTTCTGGATAGTTGATTTGAAAAACAGGCACAGTATAATGTAAGTTTGATACAATAGAATACATCGAAATCTTTGTACAATATTTTCTTACTTGGTTTTCGATCATTCGATAATAAACTTTTGAAAAGAATGGAAAAATTTTAATGCGATGAATGGGAAACCATTGGAAGGCGAGAAGCACGGAAAAATTAAATATTCTTCGTACTCCGAGTCATTCGTGGAATACGTGTAAAACAATACCAAAGTCAGACGAGTGTTGAAGATCGATCTGGATCGCGCAGAAGTGTCGATCAGACGTGTCTTTCACGTGATCTATAGAAAATACCCGATCGAGTATCGGTAAATGCAGCTGAAGGACATTTGATACCAAGTACGATCAGCATTACTTGGTCCACGAGATTTCTTCTATTTTTATGATCGATATTTATCGTTCTTTTGACAAACTTCAATCTCGTAATTTTCTTGTATAGCTTCTTCTACATGCAGAATCTTTCTTCATATTAGAAGCTTTATATTATCCTCTAATTAAGAGTTTCGGATGAAGAAATGAAGTAAACGTAAAATAATCTCTGTTTCTGAAAGAAGAAAACTGGAGGCCATATTTATAAGAAAATTTCTCGTTTCTGTTTAAGTCCCTGAGGGATGAAATCGCGTTTCCTGATACTGTTCTTCTTTCTGGCCGTCTCTTCGGCAGAACAGCGGTCGTTTGAAGATACAGATGAAAAATGCACGCAGGAACATCCGGTTCTTCTTTACTACTTTTCATGGGCCGACTATACGGTGCTGGCCGCCATGTTGATAATTTCGTGCCTGATCGGTACTTTCTACGGCTTTTTCGCCAAAAAGCAAGAGACCAGCCAGGACTTCCTACTCGGTGGCTCAAGCATGGGGACGTTCCCTATGGCGATGTCCCTGGCCGCAAGTTTCATCACGGCTATTGAGCTACTGGGCAATCCTGCGGAGATGTACGAACAGGTACGTTTACTTGCAGATGTTTTCAAAATCGTTCTTATCGATTTATTTCTCGAAATAATTCGAGACTTGATAAAGTATTTAAAAGGAGAAATAATACTTTCGTTACAGTTTTGTTAAGACTAGAACTACCAATCTGTGTCATGTACCCAAACGTAATGTACATATACTGGGTATCCCTGAAACGGTAATATAACCGGGAATGGGGTTATTCTAGGTGAAAAATCAAATCGAAAATAAAGAATAAAATTTTTCTATTTGAAGCTCCGTTTTCGAGAAAATCGACTTTGAATATTCACCGAGTACGCGTGGACTTAACTTTGGCAATGGCGGATGGACCATCAGTATTCCAGCGTACGCAGTGGATATTCAAAGTCGATTTTCTCGACAACGAAGCTTCAAATGACAAAATTTTATTCTTTATTTTAGATTCGCTTTTTCACGTAGAATCACCCTCTCCTCGGTTGTACTACTGTTGCTGAGATGTTCTGTATAATAATGATTAAAGTGTTGCGAAGAAAATAAATATATATGTACAATTATGTCGTTATCTGAACAAAAGTCTGAACAAAAACGTTTCATCAAAATCAGTCGAATGTTTTCAATAACTATAACAATGAAAAGCATATAGTCATTTTGACTATTTTGGTAGCTTTGGTGTTAAATTTCAGGATATTTCTTCTTTTCTCCTCTGTTACAGTGCATATTTCCTTTCCTTCTTTTCCCTTGTACTCTTCCTATGTATATTATTCCGGTTTCTTGCTTCTCCTTCTTACATTTTCTATTTCTTCCTTATTCCCTTCTGTGTCCATCTTTTCCTTCAATTTTAATTGTTTGTTAAAAATTCGCAGGGTACCCAATTTTGGATGACTTGCCTAGCTTTTATCCTCGTCGTACCTGTTACTTCCTGTCTGTACTTGCCGGTTTACATGAAATTAAGGCTAACCTCGAGTTACGAGTATCTGAATCTTCGCTTCCACCGCTACTGTAGACTACTCGCCGGTGGTCTCTACATGCTGCAGATGATTCTCTACACATCTGTTGCTGTATATGCGCCAGCGTTAGCTTTAAGTCACGGTAAGCCTGAATTAAACGCGACTCCGGTAAATTAATCCGCGTTTTCTCTTAATTAACGTGTCTCCCCTTCTTTTAGTTACGGGCCTCAATACTTACATAGCCGTCACTCTAGTCTACGTAGTCTGTATCTTCTACGCCTCACAGGTATCTAATCTCCACCTTAATTAGAAAAACTACTTATATAGCTTTTACTTCATTTCCTCAGAGACATATCTATTTCTTTCTTTTAAAATTTCCACTCTTTCTATTCAGATTTTTATCTCTTCCCGTCAATTTCGTTCTTAAGATTCGATTTTTTGAAATTTGCGTTTTCTGTTTTGTCCACTTCAGGGTGGAATGAAGGCCGTCATAATGACGGACACTTTCCAAGCAGTTGTGCTGCTCGGTTCCCTCTTTCTAATTGTTGGGTACGGTCTATTCTGGGCAGGAGGACTCTCCTTAGTATGGCAAGTGAACGATCAGTCTGGAAGAATGGAGTTCTTCAACATGGACCCTAGTCCAACCGTCCGTCATAGCTTCTGGAGCGTTGTAGTTGGTGGTACTATCTATTGGACCACTATGTTCTGCAGCAATCAGGCTTCCGTCCAAAAATACCTCAGTGTTAAGAGCATTGGTCAAGCCAGAACGTAGGTGTCCCCAAAAGATTACTTAAAATCATCATAACATTTCATTAACGTGAATATCCATATATGCGTTCGTAGCCTATGGAGCATATGTGTTCATAGCGTTGATAAGGTTAACATCATCGACTATATTTCTTCAATCATGTACTATTTCAATTCTCTATTTTGTTCCAGGGCCCTATGGGTATCCGCATTTGGCATGATTATAATATACACCATAAACTTCCTGACCGGTATGGTGCTCTACAGCACTTACAAAGACTGTGATCCTCTACTAGCTGGTCACATAAGTGGCCAGGACCAGCTGTTACCACTCTATGTAATGAATTTCCTGGGAAATCTCAAAGGGATGCCTGGTTTCTTCGTTGCTGGAATTTTCGCCGCTTCTTTAGGGTACATTTTACAATTTCTTTCCGTTTCTTTCTTAAGTATAATCCATGGACCATGGATCTTCAGTGGTATAATCACCTGAAGTATACAAAATTTAATTACAGGATTTTTATGGACTAATTTTTTCCGGTTGCTTTAAGTCTCCAGAATGAATATTTATGGTAAATTTTTCAGAACCGTGGCAAGTGCCCTAAATTCATTGGCGGCTATAACCTGCGAAGATGTCTTCCAAGGGTTGTTGAAGATAGAAATGCCACCCAGAAAGGGCGCAATTTATGCTAGGTGGATTAGTATCTTCTTTGGGGCGCTTAGCTTCGCTTTGATCTTTGTCGTAGAACGCCTTGGTAGTGTTCTTCAGGTACAAATTTCTTCATAAACCATTTCCTTGCAAAATTTTTATCAAGCTATTTTCTTCAACCCACTTGAAGACTGTAAAGATACGAAAACTATACAAAATTTGAACAAATGCTTTTTCCTATGAATTTGTATTTAACTTCGAGTACCTTCTGACCAATGTATCGCATTATGAAACATGAAACTTATTTCTGCAGGTTGCACTATCGTTTAATGGCATGGTCGGTGGTATTACATTAGGATTATTCTCTTTGGGAATGTTCATTCCATGGGCGAACGCCAAAGGAGCAATTACGGGAGCTATCACGAGTTTGATAATCATCTTGTGGATTGGACTGGGGGCCCAAATCGCTGTTCTAAATGGTCAAATTTACCTGGATAGCAAACCTGTGTCAGTGAATGCTTGTTCTTGCATCAACACCACAGCCATAACTATCAACCACTCAAATGGGAATGACAATGAGACTTTTTCCATATATAAAGTACGTATCTCGTAATTTCTTTCGAAATTATATTTTCTTCGTATTCTTGTTAGAAAAACAGACAATAAATTATTTGATTCCTAGGTTTCTAATTTTCGCCAATTTTATTTCAGATCAGTTATTTGTGGTACAGTGCAATAGGCTGCATCCTGACGATGTTGATCGGTGTGGTGGTGAGCTTTTTCACAGGATTTCAAAATCCAGCTGACCTCGATCCCGACCTTCTGAGTCCACCTATTGTTTCTTTGATTTATACACAGACAAAATCTCGTGTGAACAATGTCCACGGTATCGCAAACCTTGGCCTGGAATTAAACGATGAGAAATCCCAGATGGAAAACTCCAAAAGTCTTAAGAACTAAAGAATAGTAGCCATGTACATCCAAAAATCATTCTGGGAATTATAGAAAGAAACAAAATTGGGTGGATACTTGTCTATTGTAGGTAAAAAGGTTGTAATTCAGTGATTTTTTTTTCTAAGTAATGTTTTTTTATCTGTTAGCGTAAGTTTATTTATTTATAACTAGATTTTGTAAGTATCATAGAATAGCGTGATTTATTAAGATAAAGCTAGTTATAAATTAAATATGAACGAAACAGTGTAAACAAAATTAAGAAATCTATTTTTTTTTTTTCAAATTTCGCGTCTTTTATCTTTCTCTAATATTTCGTATTTAATTACTTATAAACATCTAGAGAAGCTTTCTATTAATTCTAATACTTCCTAACAGTATATGAGTATTTAAATGTACATTCTATCCCATGATTACTACGTGAACAATCGATTCAGTTTAGTATTCCCTTTGGTATTTTATACTACACCGTTTCCGTAGTACTATAACTTGTAAAATTAACCACAGTATTTAATTCTATTTATCTAGTCAAAATTTTTAAAACAGTATTTTTGAATATATTATATTTTTATGCGGTATCATAATAACCAAAGTTTTCTTTCCAATTGATATTACTATGTCTCGAATTTGAAATATTTCTTTTGAATTTTTTAATACTAAATTAAACGAAAAATTTCAAAAATCGATTACATTAAAATATCATGAACATTGATATGGATTAATGTTCAAAGTTTCTGTTATAAATAGATGCAAATTTGAAACATTATTATATTTAAACAACTTAACCTCATTTAGAATGCAATCTGCACTTAGTTTTGTTTACACTGTTGAGATAAATTAAATCATTCCATAACATTTTTTAAAATATTTGTTTATAAATACTTTAAGTATAATAATAAATTAAAATTATTTATAAAGAAATATTAAATTACAATCTGTTTTCTTATAATAGTCATATATTCGCTCAACATTGTAGTTAATTGTAATAGCATACTGAGTGGTAGAATGAATAATTACTTTAGAGTGAATATTCCAAAGAGTTATACGAATCTTACAAAAAATTGCCTAAAAGCAGTAGTTCCTAATTGCAACAATCTATTTATTACTTTATTTCTTTAAGGTTGTTCTGTAAACAGTTAGGAAAGATCTGTGCTGACTGCACTAGTAAAGTCTATGTGTTAGTTTTTAGTGGAAGAAACTTATCAAACAATAAATCAATGAGTATAAAAGTAATCTTCGAATCAGCTTCTGAAAACTAACTACTGTCATTCACAAAGTTCCATAATGCATATGCATTAGATATGTAAGCCTGTGGAGGACAATGATAATTTGTTTCATTCTGAATATGATACTTATTAAATTAAAAGAGGAAAAAAAAAGATGACTACTGACAACTCTTGAACTTTTCCAATACTAAACAAAACCAAAGTAATGAGATTCTTTAATAGGGTTTTCTTAAGACTTAATTAAGTATATATACCTTTTAGAGTATTAATCATGAAGAAAAGATTTAAGAAATAAAAGGGTAGAAAATATAAAATCACCAGTGTATATTTTTCTGGTTATTAAACACTCAAATAAATTTCCCCAATTCAGAGTGAGTCTATTTATAAATAGTCAAAGAAGACTTCTTATCAGGAAGCAATTTACAAATGATGTAGAATAGCCTATTTATGACACAAGTTGATATTAGTACTTACTTTATTTTTTGGATTTCAGCCATTTCCAAGCAAAAAATGTTTTTACAGGCAGTTTCAATGAATACGAATTAATTGTTAGGAAATTTTATCTACATATTTTAAACATAATGAACAAGTGTGGGTTTTTTCATCACACATACTAGTTAAAGAAACCTGCTTTTGTCTTGTTTATGTAGAAAAAAAAAATATTTGTACCATCACTATGCTTTTAATTTAAATATAATTTTTATTTTAAGGCTGAAGCAAGTTTTTAATTTTATTTCTTTTAAATTATTTATTCCTTTGAAGTAGAATCTTCCAATTGATATTTTATTTGTTTTATAGTGTATAATCTCTGGTAGATAGTCTCTTCTGCTCAAGAAGGGAACTTCTATGCAAGTTTGCAATAATTTTTATACCTTTTATGGAAGCTTCTTCCATGTGAAACGTCAACAATTCGATTGAAAATCTTTTCTTTAACACCTCGTCAATTTCGGAATGGTTTCCCTCCCCCATTTTTTTGCTATTTCTTTCTTTTTTTTATATCGTGGAATTGAAAAATCATTCTTTCACTTAACTGCGGATCTGTACTTCGTTTTTTCGTTCGAATATTTAAATAGATGGGAAGAAAGCACACGGATATATTTTAAGTAACCTTCTTCACTCTTAAATATATTTGTATGAACATTTGTACATAAAAAGAGAAATACACGAATTAAGAAACTCCATTAGATCTTGATGTGTTTTTATTCCTCTTTTGTAAAAAATTCCCCTAACTAGGAAGTTTTCCAAAAATTAAATAATAATAGAAAAGATTTTTACAAATTTATATGTTATTATTAATAACGATTTATTTAGAACACCAAATTAAAAAATAAAAGAAATTAGCTGAAAAATATAAATAGAAAACACTAAGATTTTTCTTCCTTTCTTTCATAAAATTTACTTTCTTTTACAGTCAAGTTTAAAGTAACTTATTAATAATTAGTAAGTCAATTCTCCTAACAAAATCAGAATCTACTAAATTGATTAGAGACAAGAAGCTGCTGATTAAATATTACTATTACTATTCTAATCAAAAGTAGAAAATATTTTTTACTGATTAGAAGAACAATGACAGAGATAGCGATAAAAATGAAGCAGAGAACATCAAAGTCAGAGAATGATATAGAGAGAAGAGAGAGAGAGAGAGACAGACAGAGTCCCAAAGAGAAAGGACACGACAGTGAAAGTGGATCAATACGCTGTTAACGTTTCGCCGAGCAACGTGCGGCCAGAGTTTTCTTCGGAACTTCCTTTTTGTCAAAGTACAAATAACTATTAGAGAAACAAGTAAACTTACAGTGTCATATCATCATAAATTCTCTTCTTATTAAAGCTATTTGTATTCTGTCACTAATGTCTGTTCCACTTCTTGTTTAATGTTTGTTATAAAGTGCACACAAGCTTTTAATTCATCTTAGGATTGTCATGAAAATAAATGAGACTCTGGTAAGAATATTGTGTAACATCAAAATCAGTGAATGACAGTTTGTGATTTGTTAATTGTGGTATTAGTGAAATTGTTAAACATGATTTTTCGAAAATTGAATAGTTGGACTGTTGATAATTAAAGAATAGTTATATAGGAATGGGGAGATTGAAGATTTAGGATTGTACAATAATCCATGGTGGTTTCGCATTGTAAATTTCAGCACCAACTATGTATCTTTCTTATTTTGTGAGTAGTTTTTATAGTTCCTTTTTTCTTTTTAAATTTATTTCTTTAAAGACAAAAATTACCAAGATTTCTAATCAAAATTCTAAGATCAAGAAGAAAAAGTAAAAACTTATATTTTAGGTTCATTTTGTATTTTGGAATGAAACCTGAACTTAAAATTCTTTCTCTAACAAAATGAATTCTAGATATATAAAATTAAACTTTGATTTAATTTAATTTTTCTCAAATTTCTTTCCACAGTTACACAAAGTTACCTTCAAGTCAGACCTACAGTGTTTCCGGTTTCTTCGTTGGACCATTCTAGTGCCTCTCATCATTTATTTATCTCTGCTGTTCTTCAAATATAATAGAAATGTACCTCTAAAAAGTTTGATGTCCACTACTGCTATACGAGATGAAAAAGAATTCATGATTGAGAATCTTTTCATAGAATTGGAGTCAGTAACAGTTGGTAAAAATGATGTGGAACATTTCAAGGAATTAGATCAGAATATTAAAAGAATGGAAGAAACAGAGAACAAGAACAACCCAAGAATACTGCTTGAAAATATATTTCAAAGAGCTGATACTGATCAAAATCAGTTATTAGACATTCAAGAATTGGCTAGATGGATTCACACAAAGATCACAGAGCATATTAGTCGAGCTATGAAAGAGAATGTTGGTTTATTTACTGCAATAGATAATAATCCACGAAATGGTAAGTAATTTTGATAATGATAATTTTTAAATGTCTGTAAGATATAAGAGAGAGCTACTTCTATAATATGCAGACTGAATTTTAGTTTCTAATTATCAGAGAAATTAAAAAAACAAACAAGTTATCCTTGTTTATAGAATAAACAATACAAAAAAAGAAAAGAAACATGAATGAAATACAGAAAAAGTAAATTGAAATTTTGCAAAATTAAATTTAGTTTGATATGAATACAAATTTGAATTCTATAAATTTTAATAGATCTAATTTGAAATTAAAATTGTTTAAAAATAAGTTCCAAATTTCACATGTAAAATAGAAACTCCATCAACAGAAATAAAATATTCGAACTTTCAGTTTATTACAAAAACAATATGAATCAAATTAATAGCTAGTAGAAAGTGTCAAAGAAGATCCGGGATTACAGGTTACGTTTTAATGTTGCAGGCGAGGTCTCATGGGAAGAGTATCACGCGTACTTTCTCAGATCTCACGGATTTCTCGAGAGCTATGTGAACTCGCACGACAAGAAACACAGCGATATGTCGCGTACCTTAAAGGAAAACATAATGAGAGACAGAGCTAGATGGGCGGAAGCAGCCAGTAACGATCCAGACAGATTAGCATTGGATGAGTTCCTGGCTTTTACCCACCCTGAGAGTAGTCACAGAGCTTTACTTCAAATGGTGGAAGATCTGTTTGAAAAATTTGGTACAAAAATATACATTTTTATAAAACATTTAAAACAAGTGTTAATTTTCGAATTATATAAGTATAGCAGAACTTTATACTGGAACTGCTTTTCCAAAAATTTTCTGTCATGTACGAACTTTTTGATATCTATAGTATTATTTTGTTACTTCAAAAATTAACACTTTAAATAATCTTCGTTAATTTTTAATATCAATACTAATAATTTTTTGTAATTTCTTCTTTTTACAGAATATTATGATATTGATTTTCCTAATTTCTACTTTTTGGAATGTTAGTAATGGTAATAATTGTTGTAATTTATGTTGTTATTCGTGTTTTTTTTTTAATCATTTTAGACCGCGATGGGGATGAGCAACTTACTGAAGACGAGTTCTCGGATTTTCCGTCTGAAGAAATGGGGTTAGAGTTGAAGGAAGATAAACACGAGGTGGTGGGTGGTAGTGACGACAGACGAAAGGAGTTCAGACACCTTATCGACAAGAATAAAAACGGGAAAGCCGATAGAACCGAGCTATTGGTAATCTGGGAAACCTAACCTCATTCTAAAATAAACAATTTTATCTAACCCGATCTTGATAAACGTCTAAAGCATTATTTTAGATGTACATAGATCCAAGGAACCCAAGGCACGCTATACAAGAAGCTCAACACTTAATCAATGTGTCAGATACTAATCTCGACGGAAAATTGAATCTGTCCGAGATTTTAAGCAAAATGGACTTGTTTTTGGGTAGCAAGATGGTGGACACGGAAAGAAGTTTCCACGATGAGTTTTAATTGCGCAAAATAAGGAGAAAAAGACTTGAAACTTAGATAATAATATTTGAGAGATAGCGATGTGAACAGTAAATTCATTTTCTAGAATGAAATGGAAGCTGTTCCTCATTAACCCCTTGCCTTACCATTTAAGTTGCGATGGCGCGTGCCATATTCCACAGCAACGTCCAGACACGTCGAGACAAGCCGAGACACGTCGGACACGACGAACCACTACGTCCGAACGCGGCAGAGAATAACACACAACTGAGACAGAAAGACATCGACGAAAATGAACCACGAATTTGACCAGTGATGTTTACGTTAGAGACTCTACCTACGAACCACGGTTCTCGCCGGTGATATTCATGTTTGGCCCGATTTACCATGAGTCTCACACGATATTGTAAGGGAAGGGGTTAAAATTGAGTGTTATTTTAGGATTGATGGTAACCCAATCTCTCGATGAACCGAGAAATATAGAAACAGTGCTCTTTTTATAAGAAATTCGACAAAATGTATCTAGTTTTGCTGCCAAAAAGAAATTTTTTGTAAAAAATAATTTTATCGTTGCTGAGACTGACCATATATATTAGTAATATGGCTAATACTGATCTTGTTTAACCCTTTCACGAGTTCAAGTATAAAAAATTTATAAAACCAATATTGTGCAATCAATATGACACACATATTTAGTAAGAAGAAAATTCTAAGATTATGTCAATAAAATTAGAAAATAATTGAACGATATATACGATATTTATCAGAAACATTTATTGTAGATATGAGCCATGGCGGCGCTAGTGAGTTAAATGGAAAGTCATAGTAAGACTACCGACACGCTTACTTGTGAAAGGGTCAAATTCATTCGAAAAAAAAAATGGATTTTTTTACAGAAACAAGAGATTTTCTGTTTTTCTTGTACTTCTAGTACGAATTCTATTATATTTTTCTGTTATGCCAGATGCCGACTTAAATTTTTCTTTATGATATGAACTGTCAGTATTACTTTCAATATCGAACTCTGTAGATTTATTGGAAAGCACGGAGAAAAATTTCACGGGCTTTTAAAACGTATCTGTGATAGTCTTTGTAACGTAAAATATTATTTTTTAGACTACAGTTAGTGAAAGCTATTAACAGGATACTTAAGAATAAACAATTCAAGTTTTCTACGTTTTAACTACTTTTGTAAAACTTTTTGCAAAATTATATTCAATTACACGTAGTATTTCTTTGTGAATTTATAAAGAAATACTTTTATTTCTTTCTTATTTATAAAGAAATAAAGAATTCTGATAAATTAAAGAAAACAGTAATAAGAAGAGGAATCAGATTTTCGAGTCCGTCCTTTCAGTGGGTCTCCACGATTATTTATTAACAAAAGCCCAATTATTAAGTTTTTATAACTTAAGCAATTCTGATTAAACGAACTTTCTTCTACTGCTAAATAAATTTAATTCGTACATTTAAGAACTATGTGTATAAATATGTTTACGTATACAATTCTAGAAAATATGATGTCCTATGTTAACTGAAATTTGCAAAGAGAAAAAAGAAAAATAAGAAAAATCATGAATGTTCCTTTTAAGAAACGAAAACTCGTGTTTTGTGGAATGTGCTTTTGTATAATTTATGGTGTTAATAAAAATTGTTTATATATATTAAAATACGTATCAAGTATTTTTACTGATATTTTATATCACAGATCAATTTCAAATTCCAAATAAATTTGATACCAAGATTTGTGAATTGTCAAAAAATAAAAATTTTCTTACTTCTTAAATTATGATTGCGATTATAAGGACGTTTATTAATTAAAGAAATTACAACAAAATAAATACAATCAAAGGACTAATGTATCAGGAACGATCGGTATCACGATTATTTATTTACATCTTAAAAAACGTACAACTACAAAGTCATACAAGCAAATGCGTCCGCTAATTAGCTAGCCTTACAACTAATTACCCTGCGCCTCTTAACAAAGCTTAAAAATTTATATAGTATTTTCTGTCGTATTAATCAGTCTATGATTCATAAAGAGTATTGTAGACGTCCAATGAAAATTGTTTGTTCAAAAATTAATCTGATTTGTGTAATTTAATTAATTTAAAAAGCTTCGATTTATTTCTAAAATATTTACATTAATTTAAAAAATGTTTGAATTTTTTCAATCTTTCTCCTTGGCTGGATTAACACCAGTATGATTCTTTGTTAAAAATTATATCCTTATAATAGTTTCATAAGCATAAATTACAGAGAATTTTTTTAACACATTCGATGATCCTTAAATGCTGTGGAATTTTAAATATTTGATATTAATCTTATTTTTACTCATATTACTTTGCCGATAACTTCTTGAATACTGACTGGAATCGATTTTACATATGACGCAAATGATATATCACCCGGTACATCAGATGTATAATAAGTAGTTAAGGACACAGATGATGTGTTGATTGGTGTATTGAAATGCAAATGATACAGTATCAGCATCGAATGTGTTAAAAAGCACGAACAACGATACACTTACTCAGTTAAAGCTATGAACATTTTTCTCTCTGCTTTTTTCTTTAAATAAGTATATACAAAAATTAGTTTAATCTCATTTTAAGCCGATTTTATTTCATCGTTCTTAATATATATATATACAGTTGATTCTTATTTAAAAAATTAATTCTGTGGATTTCACTGATTTCAGCATTTTTCGTGGAGATATATTTTCATGTTCTATTATATTTCATTTTAAATAATTTCTATTCAGAAGAAACTCCGAACATTCACATAATTCAACTTTCAATTATCTTCAACAATTCTGCGATGCCACTTACTATAGCTTATCTTATATTCATTTTACTCCAAATCTTCCAACTTCTCGATAAAAGACTTCAAATTTAAAATTTCCATGGTTATTCCATATTTTCTTAAATATTCAACATTTCATATTCATCTTACAATGTTCCTATACACTTTATTCTACCGACAATTATCGCAATATTCAAAATTTTCAGCAGTACAGGCCCCACAGTGGGCAATCGTTATTAACGTGCATCGTTTTAAATTTTTAATTAGAAATCCTTATTTCGGGTGTTTAGATCGAAATCAACCTGAACAGTTTCTTCATTCAGAGAGGATCATAGTTCATCTTCATGGTTTGAGAGGAATTTTGAAGCCAGTGTTCAATGTTAAGGAGTCCAGAGAAGCTCCATAGTCAGACCGCTGTTCTGAAACCGGAAATGAAGATCGTTTCCACCGGAAATAGGCATATTTCGCAATAATAATTGCTTTCGAATGCAAAACAAACTAGATTACAATACTTCCTTGGTCAGATAGAGATAGATTTCATATTTTACAACTGCGATTTAAATAGAATAGATAAATTTTTAAAGAAATACTGATTGTTCGTTAAAAAGGCTGTTGTTCGCATAGTTTCACCTTTTATTTTCAGTTGTAAAGTCGAATAATGTACTCGTTAATTGATATGCATGTAGAGATTTTTTTAATTGGAAGTTCGTTCGCGAAAAGCGAAGTCTGAACTGAATACAAAAGGAGAGGAATTGAAAACGGGGTTGGTTCACAAAAGCAGAAAATTTCAAGGAAATTTCGCATTGCCCTTTATTCGCATAAAGCACAAAGGATCATGCAAAATTCTATACACACAAACACCAAATTTGTGGGAACAGTGTTAAGAAATTATAAATAAAGCTTCAAGTGAAGAAGCTAACTAAAAAAGAATTTGAAAATAAATTCGGAAAGTATTCGAACCTAAGAACCCTAATAAATGACGAGAAATACACGAACTGGTTTATTCAGGACTAAAGAAACTGAAACAGGATCCACATTTCACAAATTCGAAGAAATCCCAGGACATTGGAAGAGATTTTAAGACGACTTCAATTCAGAAGAAACTTGGAAAGGCTTGGAAAAGTCAATAGAATTAAAAAAGAAACTTAGAAAATCGTATAAAACAAGGGAGAGCCAGGGAGAGCCAGGGAGAGCTACTAGGGAGAGCTAGGGAGAGCCAGGGAGATCTTAAAATATTCCAAACTTGTCAAATCTCTATAAATTGCAAAAATAATATAGAAATAATGTACTTAAACACATAAAATTCAGACAAGATTCGAGAAACGATAAATTAAGAGAAAAAGGAAAGATATCAAGCTGATGAAACAGCCGAAAATAAAATTGAGTAGTCATTGGAGTACACATTTAAGGAACGACATGAAACAAAAAATGCAAACAGCACATGCTTCCGCGTTTTTTTTTTACCTACTAGTATAACGTTGTGAGAAGGATCGACCGTCGAAGCTGGTAATGATCTAAATTCGGATTGGTGAGCTTTCCTCGATCATTACTCACTCGGCAGGTCGGTCCGGTGGTGGAGTGTTTCCACCTCGACAGCATAGTCTTATCCACCCACTAGATCTCATCTCCTCCTCCTCCATCTCGATCACTGCACATATCGATAATCATTATTCCCTCACCTCTCTGTCTATCCTCTTTCTTCTTCCATTTTCTGTCCTCTAATGAATTATGCAAATCCCTGTATCCCGAGAAATTTAATTCTACGAGCATACAGTGTACTAACGATATTGGGTAAATAATACAAGCGTATTTCTTCTTTTCGAAGATTCTAGCATTTTTGTTATTTTTAATCATTTAATTATTATTTACTTTTAGTTCGTCACGCGAAGAATAATTTCTATGAGAGTTCAATAAACAAAATGTAAGAAAAATTAGTGATCAAGGAAATAATTTATTTCTACGTTAATTAAATCCAACCTTTTTCTCCCCAAATTGCATTTAAAATCGATTCATCAGAGAAAGATCTCGACAAACACTTTTCAACCTTCTAGCGCACAGAGGGGAGTTTCTGACTTTCATTAATGTGATTGAAACTCGTTTAGCTTGTATAACAACCTGGTTGAATATTTCATATCCTTTTAAAAATGATTTTATATGATGTATCTTGTAAAACTATCGGTTAATTTATTTATATACAAGTCAGAGTGATTAATTATTTTAAAGATGCACGAAATGTCATCGGGAATAATTTATACTCGTTTGAGTAATTACCCTCGTAATTTATCAACTTAGTTATCGAATAAATTATTCATTTATTTATCGAATTACCAAACACGTTCAGAAAACTTGGCATAAATTAACCATTCAAAATACAATTCGAGTTCGATTGATTACTCTCGAAAAATTGAAATTTTGCTAAAAAATTTCCCTTTAAATAATTTATTAACAATTCCATTTCATTTATAGTGTACTAAATTTCTTAATAAGTATAAAATCTAGACTGTTTAATTAATATATTAATTAAACGTATGAAATCGGTGCCGAATAATTCGATTGTTGTTGATAATATGAAAAATTGTAAAAGTTTATTTCAGTGACTTTGCCCTAAATCCCTTTATTTCTTTCTTATTTAAAAAAAAAATTGTATTTTAATATCAAAAAGAAATATAAAAGTTTAAAAAATTAATGTGTTTTTGTAAAAAGCCTAAAATTTAATTACGCTCTTTTTTTCGGCCACCCGATGTATAAGTTCGTCTGTCAGTTGTCACCATGTGTTTATAGAAACATTAGATTGGCGACAATCGCTTGTGGATGCAACGCGTCGGTCCATGACACACGTATATTCAGACTTCAATGTAGTAGTACATCAACAATTTTTTCAAATATCTCGAAAATGAAGGTCGTACGTTAATTACTTTTCAAATAAAAGTTGTTCGGAGTCTTGTCCGCCATAACATATGTATCTCAAAACCATCGGGATTGATTGATGCATTTTCAAGTTTTTTCAATCTTTTTCGCAAAAACCTAGCAAAAGTACGTGTCATTTTTCTCCAATATGTGAACGAGGCAAAATCACTAAAGGAAACTTTTATCGAAATCAGTAACAAGTAATTAAATTGTTAATGATACGAAACATACATGTTTCGTACGAAACGCCTACATGTTAATTTACAACACTTTTCCTTTAAATTTGTAAAATATTTATAAAATAGCAAAATATTACACGAGAATGAATATGAAATATATTTCGCATTTTGATATTTGTCAAATAATGATATTAAAAATCGCATATAAATACATTTCCATTGTTAATATATAATGACAAATATTATTATGCACTTATAAATACGAATTATATAGAGAGGTTATCCAATTTCAAATAATAAATTTATTTTATCTACTAGCAAATGATAAATCAGTATATGTAAATATATAATACAGGAAATATGAAAAATTTCAAAAATCACGAAACTATTACTGTTTTAAAAGATATTTATATAAAGTCTGGGTGATAATTAACTGAAAGAATGAATTAATATATTCACTTACCGGACGCAATTCTTTGAGGCTGGCAACCACTGAATGTTGATTGTCTCCTCGCTTGCAAGTCAGTTCCTCTTAAAGAAAGATATACGGAAATAGTTTTGTCCAAAGCTAGTCTCACCTGTATAGGAGACAGTAATTAGTCACTTAATTGTATCATTACACTGATCACTGAGTAAAAGGTTATGATTCGAAATAATTTAATCAAAGATGGAACGAAAGCTAAATGCAATGCAATTTCCACGGTCGGTAAACGAAGACTGACTGAAGAGACTTTCGGGCTTGAAATACCCCACTCTTACCTATCTGCGAGCTGAATGGGGCCTTGCATACAGCAGCGCCCTGTACCAAAGCAACCTACTATACTAAATTCCTAAAGACGAAATAATTTGTTCCTTGTAATTTAATTTTGGAATATTTAGAGATTGTTGATTCTTTCCTGATATTTTATGATTATTTAAAATAAAATTAAATATATACAATCTCGTGTATCAGCGAAATTTATATCGATAAATCGTAAAAATTTCATACTTTTCTTAAGAACTTCATGATTTTTAATGAGTATAATTTTATTAGAAATTTAATAAAATTCTTGTTAAAAAATTTTATTCCATATTTTGTATGCTCTTTAAAAATACTTTTATGTTAGGTGCAACAATTCGCATAGAATTTTTAACGAATATGAGAAGTTTACGAAGAATATTTCGATTAATTGCAGTAATTTCAATGGATAATTAACAATAGTTCGTTAAAGTTTTTGTTTTGGTTATGGTACTCTATGGACGTGGTGTTTACTCTACCATGTCCCTATGCATAATGCATGAACAAGCGGTTTCCATTTAATCACCGTGGAGAATTAACCATTGATTGGAAAAGCAAACCAGAAGATTTCACATGTACCTTCGCTGGACAGTTTCCAATTATTTGCACGTCTCATTTGATACAACGGACGTATAAACTTCATCATTCTTACAGCTAATTGCCTCACCTCGCCGTTTAAAAAGCAGTAGATCGTTGCAATGATGAATCCTTGAAAAGACTGAAGGAAATGCGTGGAATAAGACCATAATGCGAACTTCTCTACGTTGTGCAACGGTGCCTCGATCATGAAGAGCACGTTGGTAATGCCTAATAGTGGTAAAAGCACCACAGCTGCCCTTACAGCTTTTCTAAAAGATTATAATAAATATCAGAATCTTAATTTACAAAAATATCTTTAAACTCGGAATTAAGATTATTTTATCAATATTGTGTTATATAATTGTTAGTATTTAATTTCAATTTCTTTTCCCTCGTAATTGTTAGCAAAATATTGTCAGAAGTATGATATATAAATATTCAATTGATTTTTCAGTATTCGTTTGTTGTTTGTCTTTAATTTTCTCGAATAAAAAGACTAGGCAAATTGCCAGATCTTTATTTTGCCTTCAACTGTTTGCACAATATTGGAAGGAGTTGCTGACAAGGTTATTGTAAATGGGAGAAATTGGTTACTTTATCCATGTATATCCATATAACCAATATTGGTTACTTACAAGACCTGCTCGATTTCGCTGGTGTGGCTCTGTCGCAGCTTTACCACAAGCACTCTGACGATATTCAGCAGGAGAACAGAAAATTGAGCTGAAGGATTAAAATCAATGCATGTACGAATATTTTCCCAGGTCATCGAGCTAATAAGCGAAATATAATTTGTGGGAAAAATTTATCAATATTTATGAAGTATTGCAAATTAACATTGCTCACCAATATCACTGCAAATCTGGGTCCCTCCAGGATCCAAAAATAGGAAGACAGATTGTATCCAGACCAGCACCTAGAAAATCTAAAACATACACCACGGATAAGCTTGGAACACAGTTTCTTCGACAAAATTGATTCTCATTCCGAAATTGAATCCGAAAATAGATATGAAATAAAGTCGAAGTATATCAGATATAACACGCATAATTAAAATAATCTATACAAATTAATTTTATCATATATTTAGGATCGTATTGTGAGGGATCAACTAGAATAATATAGAGATACCTAACAGAACAAAAACAATCTTTATTCATGGAATAACGGATCGATGTAATGCAATAGTAACTATGCAACGCTCTAACAACTTTCTTACAACAGACTTCTTAGACTTCTGGTTTAAAACTCTACTGACTTTAAACTGATTTTCAATACTGACAACTTTTAGACTTCTGACTTTAAATACATGTAAGATTGGAACGAATGCGGCCCTGAAAGAATATTAAGAATGTTTGGGATATCGGATGAAAGTGGCTGCGTGCAAGAGGATTGATTGTAAGGGATATTTACGACAGAGTCGAGTGCGGGCAACGAGCAAAAGTTTAGGAATGCGTCCTGAGTGTTTGAAGTTCCTGGCTCACCGAGGCTGAGGTTGCATGGAAAATGCGTAATCGTGGAAGAAAGCCTGAGTATGAAAGAGAACAGAGTGCAAGATTAAACTAAGGGTACTAGGATGCGGACAAATCAGTCTAAATGTCAGTTGTCAGTTAAAAATCAGTCTTAAAGTCAGTCGTAGAAGTCAGTCTTAAAGTTCAGTTGTGAGTCGTAGAAATTAGTTGTGAGTTATGAGTTGGGAGTCAGTCGTAGAAGTCAGTTGTAAGTCAGTGGTACGAGTCATAAGAAAACCGTCAATTTGTTAGAAAGAGGGTTGTAAATTGTGTGAGAGTTAAAGATCAAGTGTAGTCATGATCGCATGTATATTGCATTACTATTGCACCATATGCATAGTTGCTATTCCATTAATCTGTTATTCTATTCATAAAGCTCAGTTTGTTCTATTAAGATTCGCAATATTATTATACTTGATCCCTCCAAGTACGATCCTAAATATATTTTACGATAATCGACAAGAGAAACAATTAGAATTGGAATGTAATACAGAATTGAATAAATTTGTATTTCTAAAACTGTTCGGAGCTATTCGAAAACGTACTTGAAAAGTCTATAATTATATATCTACTTTACTAAGTAGACGTGTAGAAATGAGTTTTAGAACTCAGTTCATCGTTCAGAAGATATTTCCATCCAACTTCATTTCCTACACAAAGTCAGGTCTTCGACTTACTTCGACTTTGGATGGTAATAGAACGCGGTGATGATGGCCCAAATTAGTGTCATCATGACAGGACATCCCCATCCGATGAATCGATACATCCTGTAGTAGGAATTCTCTTGAAACACCGTCACTGAAACAGTAATGACAGCACGAATTTTTAATTGACTCCGAAACAATTTAAATCAACTTAAACTTAAACAATTGCTTCTTAATATCCCATTCTATCAAAACTGTCAACTTCTTATGCAATTTTGGCCGAAGCAGCAAATTAGCAAGTCCGATGGATTAATTAAACAACTACAACGAGTTTCCCTCGGACCAGCAACAGCGCGATAAAAATAGACTGTCTATTTCAATTAAGAGATTTAAATTTTATACTTTGAACAACCACTTGAGAGAACCAAACTTTTAATTGGCATCGAAACGCCTTAGGGCCACAAAGGTTCCAGAGAGTTTGCTGTCCGGTGCCTGTGTTGGCGATGCGAGGAAAAACTCGGGAAGTGAACATTCAACCTCTTACCAGTGACCATGTTGTGTAGGAACAAACCCTCGATGAACATCCACATGAACATAGCGGTTTTCGTGTATTCCAGAAGGGCGTAGCTAGCCTCGCAGAGCACGGGCTGCAAGAAGAAGGAAGTTTTATCGTAGGTAACCAATACAAATAAAGTAATAAAATTAAAGTGACATTCAGCGACATTTACGATTTTCGACTGGAAGTTTGTGGTAGGTAACAGGAGTCCTTTTCTAACCACTTGCTGTCCTTTTTGTCACGAGACGAGGTTTCAGACGACTTCCTCGCGTATTCTATGTTCCTGTTACTTTTCGAAACTTCCGATCCAAAATCATAGATGTCGCTGAATGTCACTTGAATCTGATTGGTTTATTAAATTGGTTACTAACTCTGGTTATGTGCTCCCAATACATGCTAATACATAGATTCGACAGTGAAAAATTAACAAATCAATCAATTGCTGTGATTAATTTATAAACTTTTATAGTTGCATTACAAAGCTGGAGCTATAGGCAACATTCTTAAGCAATTTTCGTAAATAATTTGATTTTAATTAGCTCGTTATTAATAATTATTTGGAAGAATACGTGATTTGGTAACCACGCCCACCATGATTTTTCGTCAAGAATTTGAATGTAATTGATAAATTAATTGAATAAAATCCATGATGATTTCACATCAAATGTGAAAAATTGTACATAACAATTATAAAATTGCAAGTTTGGCAAGGAATATACGCAGACGATACAAAATTCGCATCGATAGAATTCTTGGAAAATGACGTTAATTTCTTGGAATTCCTGAAATGAATCTTTGAACATGCCACCTCCTTTAACAGAATTAAACGACATAGCACTTATTCCCATTCGATCAATAATCCCAAGAGCATAGAGCCAGATAAAGGACTATTACTCTGGACATGTAATAAGAAATCGAGGAACATAGTTAATCGCTGTGCAATCAATATTTTCACACGGTGTGAATTGGTATTTTAAAATTTGCAAATATTGAAATCGGTAGACACGAATTTGCGTTTCACGTTTCTTTTCGACCTTTCGCCTTTCAAAGTGATGACAATTCGCATGCTGCATGAACACTGGTTTTTAACAAGAAATTCCTCTGAATAAAATATTCTCATAGCTTTGAATAGATGCAATTGCATGCATATTTCATACATGTATTCTCCGAAATTTGCGGGGACCGAGACTTCGTATATTTCACGGTATAACGTTAACGATTCCTGTCAAATTGTACGTGTCATCAGTAGCATGGTAAAAATTGTGTGCCTCGGAGAGGAAGAATTAACTAAAAATTTAATATGACCGGAAATGAATTAGTATAATGAATTAGTATAAATATTATTTAAAACATGACCGATGTGACAAAAGCTACAGAAGGAAGTGAATAATTATGCGACACGTCAATAAATATGGTCGGATGAAGCGAAAGAAGAGATATTCGAGATTATTCTGTATAATTAATATTGACTATATTATTATTATTATTATGTGTGGTGTTATTACTGTTACGGATATTATGCTGGGTATTGCATGTACTTCTTGTTGTTTCCATATTCTTTTAATTTCTTGGGTGAGTGGTATATATTTTTCTATTTTCTCTTTGTACTTTTACTTTATATTTGTATCATTAGGTATTGAAATGTCAATTGCTATTATTATTATTATTATTGTTGTTGTTGTTATTATTATTATTATTATTATTAATATTATTATGATTATTATTATTGATTATATTATAGTTCAAAAAGATGGGGAAGACGTGGAATACTTACAGTGTTTCCTATACCTCGTTGTATACCATAAGTTTTCCTTCTCAAGATTTCCATATCTATGTACACTATTAGCCTAATTAGAACCTGGACAACCATGGCGACGAACAGGTTCTTGTGTATCCTTGTTCTGGTATTCCTCAGGGACCTAATTTATACGAATTTTAATGGAACATCGTCAGAGGTAATTTATTTATGCAGCAGCTTCTTTTCATACGGTAGTCCTAATGAGAAAAGTATCGGAACTTAACATTTCGTTTGTAGAATAAATGACTTCCCTGTATGTGCACTGGCTATTAGGGTCGTCATTCTCTGTCATAAAATCCTGTCAAGGACTTGACTCAGTTCCGTGTAATAAATCTATTCATCATTTCTCGAGATAATATATTGTAAATTACGTTGTTTTACGTATTGAAAGAAAATGAAAGACAAAGGCGATATATCATATTCGAACTAAGGAAACATACTCCATTTTCCAGACAACTTTGAAATTATTACGAAAAATTGGAGACAGGCAAAATTTTAATTGCCTCGAATTTCTTCAATTTCTTTTCTTAATTTTGCAAAGCAGTATCTTAATTTTCTTGTAAATTTGTAATAAATACTTCGCGAAGTAATGCTTATTTTCGAGACAACTTTGCAAGTATTAAGAAAAATTGGAGATAGGAAAAATTTTAATTTCCTAAAATTTCTTCGATCTTTTTTAATCTTGCAAGGTAGTATCTTAATTTTCCTATAAATCTGTAATAAATACTTCACGAAATAATGCCTCGAAAGATTACCGTATAAACAGAGAAGCTTTAAACCAGTGTAGAGTTTACCTAAAACGACAGAATATGGCAAGTGAAGCAAGCAGCGCTACTAAGGAGATGCTTAAGCCGACGAACTCTAACGTCCGGGTTTTCTCAGCTATGTCCATCTTCATCTGGAAAATAACAGAAAAATGAAACTCACCAATAGACGTATTACCATCAATAAGCAAATATCTTTTTATACTGAAATGAAATAAGTTAATAAATATAAAATAAAATAATGTATATATATATAAAATACAACACCAAAATATATGGAATATAATCAACCAGATTGATCATAAAAGATATATTTTTCCATAAATTATTCTTTGCTATTTTTATTATTTATTTCGTTTGAAATTTATTTTACTCGCTTCGTTTATTTCATTCGAAATTTATTTAATTCGTTTCACCTGAAATTTATTTTTATTACTCGTGACCGCGTGACCTATTTTCATTAATTTTTTGAATTCTGTTTAATTTTGAAATCTGTTTAATTCCACTCGATTATTTGGGTTTTATTACACTTACATCACCTTCCACGGTGTTGGTATAAACTTTCCCATGTAGCCGCAGCATTTCCGGTGTCAGGCAGGTTGTGTAGTTTGCCCAACCGTGAGGGGAATCCTCATTGCTCGTGCCATTCTGGCCCTCCCATCGACCATTATAGCCACACTTCTTCTCCACGGATTCTAAGCAAACAGTAAAATCAGTTTACTGGCGCACGCCTTTCTCATGTTAACAGAAACAAGGTTTAAGTAAAGGAGATTGATCTAATTAGACCAATTAAGGGGGTAGACTAGTACGACATAACCTCTATCATAGCCTTCTTTAAAAATTCATAGAAAATGACCGGAAGAAGATAGCCGTGCAATTTTTTCACAGACTTTACTTTCAATCTTAAACTACTTACAAAAAAATTCAGATAAAAAATATCGCAACAGAAATATCTGGAAAAAAATCTTGAATTAACCATTTGCAAAACGGAGCGGATCTCAATGCTGGACAGGATACAACGCAGAGAAAAAATCTGCAAAGGATGAAAAAATATGGCGAGTAGAGGCAAGTAATGTGGTTATCGAACTGACCACAGTTAACAAATTTAGGGCTTCGAACAAGTTCAATGAAAAATCACGAAGTTGAAGATGATAGGATATGACAAATTGTTTTTAAGAAACAATTTTTTTGAAAAATTTTCCGAATTTTTAGATTTCCAGTCAGTAGTTAGTATCAGAGACACGTGTCTTGGACACATGTTAAAAAAATTTCACAGTGATTGGAACTTCGGTTCTTTCACTATGGTCACACTGTTCACTATGGTCAAAAACGGTGTTCTGAGAAAATTGAGGTTAAACATTTTGTTAACAAAAATGTTTTTGACTGCGGGTTTTTCGCAACAAGGGACGGGGAATTTTATAAAACAATTAAAAAAATCGATTTTTTGAAGGTTACATACTGGTCTCTCACCTTAATTCATTTAGTTCGAAATTAGAGCAATTAGTAAGTACTAAAGCTACTTTAAACTAATAGTAAAGCCTCTAGTAATACCCTAGTAATATCCCTAACTCAAATAAGGGGTAACTTTAAATCTTTATTTAACCACTATTGTAGAAATTTCATAAAAGGAAATTATGATATGAAATTAAATTGTTTGAGCCATTTTTATAAAAATAATAATTGCATTTACTTTTGTGAAAAATATACAGCTTTGTAGCAGCAAAAAAAAAATTAATTATTATAGAATGTGTAGTGCATATACTGTTACCGAGTATTCTATTATATTAAAAATAATTTAGTTTACTTTGTAGAAATGCAGTAGTAGAAGTAAATGTATATTACGTAACCTGCAGAGATGCAGATAATTTGAAAGATGAGTGCAATAGAGTAATTTAATATCGTAAGAATCTTCAATCATAATTCTCTTTTGTTGCAACGAATCGATTCTTTTTCCTTTTAAATATCTCCGCGTTTTCTTTTATTTGAAATAACAGATTTTTATGCATCTAATGTTTTAAGCGCCTACTGGCGAGCAACCACTCATACAACAACGTCTACCATGAAGTGTCGACGTAGAGCGGGTTGCCTTTTGGCAGGCGCCCAGAATCTTCAACTGTGAAGATTCGTTAATAAATAATAAAGCAAAATTGGACGTATGCTTACCAGGCCGAAACCATTTTTTTGCTAATAGTCTATACTATTTCCCTAGTTAACTTGCATAAATATCACGAAATGCATATTTTATTTCTTTATATCTTTATATAAAACTTTCCGAGATAAGTAGTTACATTTAATCTAGCCAAAATATATGGAGTGATTAAAATATTAATTAATATTCTAAAAATAATTACGAGTGTATATAACTGGTCAGAAGTAAAGTGAATTCCAGAATAAGCATTATTAGGTCAGAGATTATTTTCAAGGCAATTTCATCTGCTGCTGGCGTTATCAAGAAGCTCCTATAAAGAATGACCATGAATGTTTCCACGAAAGGGGAAGCTTCAAAGAAAAGCTTACGTATCCGGTTGCCTAACTTAAAATCTTTCTTAAAGCCTACGAAGTCAGAGTATGCCGCGTTGCAATCTCCTCTTACTCCTCTTCAAGATGCACTACCAAAACGTCCGCAAAGCCAAGGACGTTGGGAAAAGAGAGAAAAACTATCGCTCGTATCTAGAGATGTCTGCATTTTCCCAAACATTTTTCATTTTTGCAATCTTACTAATTTCTCAAATAAATTTCGGCAGCTTCAACATTAACTCAGAAATTTTGCATATTTTTTTCTTTTTAAGATATTAATCCTTTGCACTTAACGATTTTCCACTACAAGAGAGTAGAAATTTAAAGATCTTCTGCCATAAAGCTGACAAAATTTTTTAGAACAGTAAATAAAAAATCGTATAATACTTAACACGTGGAATTTCAATAATTAATAATTAACTATCAATAATAGTTAACGCGGAATTATTTAATTTCGATACCTCGCGCAATTATATTATCTTAAATTTAATATATCAATTAACATCAATCTTCAAGACATTGTTAAATGGAGACTGAAGGTCGCCTCTCGAGTGCAAGGGGTTAAACAGGCAATTTTAACGAGTTACTTGTGACTGTAACTTGGAACTTTCTATAGAATATCCTAAATATCACTGTCTACGTATTTACTCGATATTCTGTCTCTAGCAACTTCAATATCAAACTAAGCTCCGGATTAAAACCAAACTTTTAACCAGGCAAAAGTTGCTGGCATTCTTATCCCTAAAGACGATCCAATTTAATTTCAGGGTACTTAAGCATTTGACAAAGTACCAAAGCAGGGGCAAGTTAATGTTTAATTAAACCGTCTCGATCCTGAAGTAATGAAAGGAAATTAGACATTGCAAAATGACGTACTCTCTCAAACCTACGTATGTTTGTATAAATTCGTGAATTACTGTCAAATTTGTTTTCTTATCAAACAAATTCCTATTTTCTCCTTCTTTATTTTCAAGAAGCTTCACCCTGAAACTTTTGCACTAAAAGGAAAAATATTATTGCAAGTTCGATAAATTATCCACCATTTTGCCGGTCAACAGCTTTCGCGAACAGAATTACTTCGTATCCCTGAAAATAACGGATAGATTCGAAATGGCAGGAATTATTGCTAAGCACCGTTGAAACGTCAACGAATTTCTACAGCTGACAGAATCTTGTGTGTCATTGGTAGGCAACAGTGTCGATGAAGAGAATGGAAAAAAAGCGGTTGAGCGAAGGGACACGGTTTGTCGCACAGTTTGCGCTGGTAATATGTCGCGGCGTTATCGAGTGCAATCAAAACGTGGAGAAATGGGTCGAGTGCTGCAAGTGCCGGGTTCTCATTCGCTCTGTCTTCCCATTATTGTCGTCGTGGAAACGGAAGTGTATCGCGAAGGCCGGAGGGCAAGTTCAAGTAAGTTGCACGTGCATGCGAATCCTAGCTAGGAATCGATGCGTCGACCTGCGAAACGTTTCTCGATTAAAGGAGATCGACTCTAAACAGTTTTTATAGATCGAATAAACTTAGATCAAATTTCAGTTAGAAATAGTTACGTTTATCTGTGTTTCGTACTGTAGTTAGGTAGACTGATGCCAAATAGTTGTACAGTTTAGTCAGTTTAGGCTATAATGCGATATGTTGACACTGTGAAATATTTTTCCACTAAATGGTCACTAGAAAATAGTTGCGTAATTTGCGAATGTTTCGAGTGAAATTAAGTTAGGTTATGTTGTCAGTGGAACATATCCCGGATAAAGTAAATACATGTTAAATGTCACCGTTGGTTAGATTCGATAATCAAATTGTGATTACTTACGAGATATTGTACAGTATATTAATGCTAAAGAGAAAGGAGATCGATTCTAAACAGTTTTTGTAAATCAAATAAACCTAGATTAGGTTTAGGTTAGAAATAGTTACTTTTATCTGTGATTGGTACTGATGTTACAAAGACTGATGCTAAATAGTTGTACAGTTTAGTCAGTTTAGGCTATAATGAGATATGTCGATCCTGTGAAATATTTTTCCACTAAATGGTCAGTAGGAAACAGTTGCGTAATTTGCGAATGTTTCGATTGAAATTAAGTTAGGTTATGTTGTCAGTGGAACGTGCCCCGGTAAAGTAAATGTATGTTAAATGTCACCGTTGGTTAGATTCGATAGTCCAATTGTGTTTATTTGCGAAATATTGTACAGTAGAGTAATATTAAAGAGCTGTTAGGTTTGGAATACTATGTAATACGTTGGCTCCACAAAGCATTCCCCGATCAAAGTGTACTGTGTACTATTAAACAGTTAAATAATTTGATTAGATTTTAGTTGTTTTCGATTATATTCAGACGTAACATATATCTCGATGAAAATGTATATTAGGTTTGATATTTGTACTGCATAATTGCTTACAATTAGTTGGATCGAATGTGGATTGGATCTTGACCAAACATTGAAATCGATATATCGATAATTTGATTACATTTAAGGGTGTAGTACTGTTCAAAATTTTGAAAAGATCGATTTCTTTTTATCTTAAATAGTAGTCTGAAGTCCTAAAAGTAATGTACGAAAAGTAGCTTTTAGAAGAGATTATTTTTGGATTTAAGGAAGACCAAACCGATTCGCCATCTTGCGTTCCGCAACGCATCGTATTACGACTTAATGTGACAGTCCATCGGCATGGAACCGATTCTATAGATCGTAATATAGGAAAGTGAAAGAATAGATTTATATATGTATGATTTGCTTATATATGTACAAAAAGTTCTTTATCTGAAACGAATTTGCTACACAGGGCCGCATTTTAAAGGTCTTTTTCAAGAAGAAACAATGTAACAAAATTGTCGAAACAGTTTTCAATTTGATTAAGATATTGGAGAAAATATTCGTCGGTAATGTATATACGGAATTATACTGCTACGCAGTATCATACCTACGCGTAATTTGATTACTATCTTAAGTCAATCCAAAGTCAATCAAAAACGATCCTACAATATCTTTGTCCACCCATATAATGTTTAATACATGCATTTTTGTTATTCTTTCGTGAATCAATGTATTTATATTATAGCTTCCACTATGTAATAAACTAGAATAGATAATAAATGAATATGTCAAAACCTGTTTCCTTCAAATCAATTTGTTTAGTAGTTATAAGCACTTGCACCACAACTACCATGCTGTGCC